GCTCCAGTCCTTCCCACTGCAGAAAACGCCCTTACCGATCCCACTCTTTATTGATTTTTCCTCAGCTGCCAAAAGCTCAGTGAAATGGTAAGCAGCGGACAGAGAGCATCCCTTCCCAATTCGGGAAACGCCTCGGCCAATACCCCTCTTCACACCTGCTACCTCAGCCGTCAAGCCACTGGGGCTGCTGCAGAGGCTATCAGCAGAGGAGGAGCAGGAGCAGGGGTCCGAGGAGAGGTCAATGAGACAAGCACTGCGGCTGCTGCAGCTGCTCTCACTGCGACTCAAGCTGCTCCAGATGCTGCTCGCCTCTGCTCCCACCTTCCCACCCTGCTCTGATCCAGCTTCCACACCCAACCAGGCCGCAACCTTGGCTGAGGAAGCAACAGCCTTCACCGTGGTTGAGGCAACCGAGTCTTCTTGAGCAAGCAGCTCCAGGAACGAATACACTTTCTTTTTCAACTCCAACGGTTTCTTTGCCTCCTCAGCTTCTGTAGCTTGAATCGAAACGGCAACAATGGGATAGTGGATGGTTTCGCCCTCTGCATCTGCTGGCGCAGCTTCTTCCAGAAGAGTGACAGCAGGAAGAGCGACAACAGGAAGAGAGGGAACCGATTCCACCTCCACTGCTGCTTGCTCGCGCGGCCTGATCCAGGTGGAGACAGCCTGTAGGAGAAAAAAGAGATAGGTTAGTTGTTGTTTACGAGAACGGTCATGACATCACCAGCAAGCAATTGATGAATGAAGTGCATAAGAACACACCATCGAAGGTAAGGAAGACGACGGTTTGCGAGAACTGAAGGAAATGGCTTGGCGGAAGTGGTTCTTACCAGGCGTGGAGCTGCGATCATGCTGCAAACGAAGCGAGCGAGGGAGTTTTTTTGCTCCCAGCAGCTCGCGAAGAGAGCATCGACGTCCATGCAGGCATTCTCAACATGGGTTGCTGACGTACGAAGAGTTTGCAGAGTAGATCCTGAGCACTTGAGAAGTCTTTCACAGCTGGTAACGAAGGGAGCACGAGCCGGTAGGAACTCGAAGGTATGGTAGGAAGATTAGCAAACAGCTTGAGTCGAGACTGATGAATGAATCAGAAACTCCAGCGACCTACTTGTACTTTTTTTTTTTCTGTATGGTGGGTCGAGAAACTTGGATAGGTGTCGGGTGAGAAGCGAGTGGGAGTGAGCGAGTGAGGGAATGCGACAAGGGGAAGCGAGGCAAGCAGGGGGAACCCGCCGACATGGTCGCTGCTGAGGTATGGGCTTGCGAGGCGGGGCGACGTTCAAAGCCCACGTCGATATCGCAGGCTGGCCTTGGGGGTATCGGGGTGTCGCACGAGATTCCATTTTTACAGCGACGATTCAGAGTGGAACACGTGTATCTTATGTGCCAGCGAGGCGGGCCGCTTGGAACCGGGTTATGCTCTAGCGTCCGCCGCAATCGGGAGCTACCGAGTGCGACGCGAGATTTGAACGAGTCATTCGGAAAGCGGGAAATAGGTCAGGTTCGGAGCCGACGAGAGTTTCAGCGAGCGCGATGTGGCCGACCGAACCTAATGTCAAGGCGCAGAGAGATTCGCGGGGTACTGACCAAAACATAGAATCTGGCCAGCAGGTTGGGCACTGAGGTTTTGCAGTAGGTAGAAGAGCGACAAAATCGAGACTCCGTAAGCGCTACACGTTTCCCCGCTGCACCCTGAGAGAAAGGCAAGGAAGAGTTTTGTGTATACAAAACTCTGTATACAGATTCCACATCGAAACGAAAATAGAAATACAGCTTATGATATGTGCATCTGCATCACATTTTTAACCATTTTACGGAGAAACTCTTATGAATTTGGTATAAATGTGGGCAATATTGCATATGGGCACAATTGTGAAGGACCAGTTACTGGTTCACAAAAATACCGTATCACCCCGAATAGTAGCGCATATGCGCTTATAATAAAATTAAAATTTTTAGGGGGGGCGCTTGTAAATGAGTTTAGGGCATAAGCACATGCGCTTATATAATGACAAATGCAAAATTATATATTTAGAGCACCAAATTGTAGATTTCGTTCTTGCCATTTCAACCGTGTCGAATTTCTTTCGAGTCACCAAGCAGAATCGCGCGGAAGCGATACTCAGCCAAAACACAGAGTAAAAACACGTCATGCCAGCACATCCTGACTGGACGCGCAGCCAGTCAGGATTTCGCGAGTCAAACAAAGCGAGAATGAAATTGAACTCGCTGCAAAAATGAGATTCGTTACCGTTTTTAGCAGGATTTCGAAATACAATTGTACATGCGCTTATAATAAGTAAAGGTTTTTCAGGGGGGGCGCTTATAATCGAGGACCGGCCATAAGCGCATGGCTCCAGATAGAAGCGCCGGCGCTTTTAATAGGACGGCGCTACTATCCGGGGTGATACGGTAGGTTGCTGCTTTCAAGGGCACAAGGGGTCAAACCCCAATCGCTGCATCAAAACAGGAGACGCGAGGGGAGGGGGGAGAAAGAAGGGATGTAGAATGTGAGCAGCAGCAGTGTCAAACATTGCAGTGGGGAGGCGAGGGAAAGGCTTGTGCAAGGGCTGGGGGAAGGTGCAGGAGGGTGTGGTGTGGTGTGGTACTCTTAGGACGAGGAAGAAAGAAAGCACTAGGAAGCAGTGCACAGTGAAGCAGAAGTCATGTTGCTCCACGTTCATGCACTCTGCACGATGACGATTGAGCTGAAGGGAGAAAGTTTGAGCCCAAAACGTTAGCATCCACGTCGCGGAGATGGAAGGGTGGGGGGGGAAAAGGGAAGGATGGGGGGATGGATGGGGGAAATGCTGGAGGAAAAAAAATGAGGTGTAGTTTGATGGAATAAAGGCTGTTGCATTCCTTTTCCCATCACTTTGCAATCCCCATATTTCTTGGAGTAGCTTATGGCACTCATTCCCCGCTCCGCTCCCTCCTCTCATCCACCCCACACACAACGCCCCACCTCCCATCCCATCCCCCCTCCTACCATGCCTGCTTCCCCACCCCACTCCCCCGTACCTCGTTCCCCTTTCCTCTTACCCCGAATCCTGCAATTTACCCATCTCTCAGTCCCCCATTCACCACCCCCCACCTCCCATTCCCCCGATCTCCTATTCCCCCCCTCCCATTTCCCCATCTATCCACCCCTTACCTCACGTTCCCCTGTCCCTCGTTGCACATTCACCATCCCAAGTTCCCATCCCCCATCTTCATCCCCCCTTTCCCATCCCCCACCTCCCATCCGTTTCTCCCATCGTGCTATCACCACCACCCAAGGCTCACTGCGCAGCTGCAATTCCTCCCCCGGCGGATGCGCCACTTTCGTCGTTCCGGCCTTCCCCACAAGCATCCCAATGAGGAGGCGAAGGGTCAGTGACGCGGAGAAGCATCGGCAGCATCCCATCCTTCGCAATCCCCCCGCTCACACCGTCTTTTCGCCACCCCTTCCCTCGATCACAGTCGTCAGTTCCCTTTCTGCTTCTCTCGCTTCGCCCCTCCGCCCTCTCCTCTCCGCGCCGCCCTCTCCTCTCCGCGCCGCTCTCTCCTCTCCGCGCCGCCCTCTCCTCTCCGCTCCGCTCTCTCCTCTCCGCTCCGCTCTCCCCTCTTTCGGAAACACAATCTTTGCTGCTTCAGCGCAGCGCCGCGCCATAGCTTACAGCAAAAGCGAGTTCCGCAGAGGAGTTTCAAGAAACTTACACTTCGAGACGTCTCAACAACTTCATATTTTGAGACGTCTCAAAACTCACGTCATCGCATGCTCTGTCGGCTTTCCCTTTCCGCCCAGTGTTCGGTCTGGCCATATCGACCCGCGGTCGCACGAATTTCGCACGCTAAGGACAACATGCTGATTTAAACCCACTCTGTTCAATCGCCTGAGAACGTAATCTCTTTTGCGGCTGAAGAAAGTGCGGCATCGGAAATGCTCAACTACAGACGTGCGGTAGGAGGCCATGCCGTATTGTGAAGGAACTAAAGGTGAAAACTAGCACGTCCTAGCAAAAGTTTGGAGAACGGGCGACCTGGGCAGAGTCCTGCGCGAAAATAGTCGAAACTAGTGAGGTGAGGATGTGTCAGCGAAAGTGCAGGTGGAGGTGGAGGTGAAAGTGCAAAAATTCTGAGCGTCAACGAAGTGCAGGTGGAGGCGGGTCAGCGCTGACGAATGGCGAAATACTGAGCGTCAACGAAGATCTATTTCCTTGACGAGACAGAACGAAAGCATGCGCGAAATAAAAGCGAAAAGAAAGATGTGTCATGTGCCAGCCGGGAATCGAACCCGGGTCTGCACCGAGCTCATGGCAGGGTGCTATTCTACCACTAGACCACTGGCACGAGGACACGTCAACTGAAGAGGCTTGACTATATGGTGAATTGCAAGCGTTTTGTGTGAAACTAGTCGCGCTGTTACCAGCTGTTACCAGCTGTTCACTTTAGCACTACTGCCACTGTAAACACGCCCTAAGACTCCTGCTGTGAATGGATTTCATGGTCTTGTTTACCAGGGATTTCACTTCAGCTGTTTTTGCGTAGTTGCCCAAACCATGGCGGAGCCCCTAAAATTCAGAAATCAATCCGCGACCATGCAGGATATCCACGTACCAGGTGGCGATGGCGAAATTTGCGATGCTAACGAACACGACGAGTGGGCGGAAGTGGTTACCAGCGACACGCACGACAGCCTCCACATCTACCTCCTCGCCACCGGGCCTCGCGATTCCTCAGGGAGTTTAAATCTTAGCAGCTCGTCGCAGCAGCAATACCGCGTGATTGTGAAGCGTTCGCCTCGCAGGAAACGCCTAAAGCAGACTAAAAACGGTGCTATTAGGTCTCAGGATCAGACGAACCGACGGACGGCATCAGCGGATCGGCATTTCAGTGTGATATCTCAATCCGACGGTTCACAACGAGTTGTCACTCGACCGCATCACCGAGCATGGGGATGGCAACGGCCGGTCGGACAACCAGACGCGTTACAAGCTGGACCGTTAGCTCGTTTAGGAATGCAGGGGTTCCCAGGATTGGTGGGTGGGATCGCTCTGGCCTTGCGAAGTCCGGTGGCGAAAGCGGCGAAATGGCTAGGCGATGTGAAACCCCAACCGTGCACCCCCCTGATCCAACCACACTCACCGAACCTGATCCGTCCTTCCGAGCCTGCTCGCCTGCTCTGGTCCTCCGCCCGGCTGCCCGCAGCGGCAGCGGCTGCTGGCGGCGGTAGTGCTGCACCGGTCGTGCAGCGAGGAATCCTAAGGCGGTTTGAAAGTTTCAAGGTGCCCAAAAAGCTGCCCGCAGCAGCAAACGGGTGTGGTAGTGCTGCGAAGGTCGTGCTGCAAGGCATGGGAGTGGGAGCGGGAGGAGATTCGGGGCCCATCTGGCAGATTCAGGAGATTCAAGAGGGGTTTACACTGCGGCTCTCCGCCCCCCTATCCTCCTCCTCTCTTTCTTCCTCCTCATCCTCTCTTCCCTCCTCCTCCTCCTCCTCCTCCTCCTCCTCCTCCTCCTCCTCCTCCTCTCCTCCTCCTCCTCCTCCTCCTCTTCCCCCCCCCCTCCTCTTCTCCACCCCGCGCTCGCCCCTCCCCCATGCCCATCCCACCGCTGCCATCCCTCCTCCCCACGGACCAGCAGCAGCAGCGCGTGGGCAGCGGGCCGGCGTTCATGGGCAATGTGTTTCTCGTGGCGGATCCCTCCAAGAGAGGCATGCTGGGCGTGAAGGTCGAACCCTCGCCGTTTACAGGGATGGGGGAGTGGATGGGGAAGCAGCGTCAACACCTGACAGGGTGAGTCGTTCTGTCCGTGTGATGGGGTGGGGAGTGGTTGAGGAGATGGCTGGAGGAGGGATTGGCAGCACGGCACTGCATCACTCCAGCGCGTGGGCAGCGGGCCGGCGTTCATGGGCAATGTGTTTCTCGTGGCGGATCCTTCCAAGAGGGGCATGCTGGGCGTGAAGGTCGAACCGTCCCCGTTCACAGGGATGGGGGAGTGGCTGGGGCAGCGGCGGCAGCAGCTGCAAGGGTGAGTGGTTGGGATGGGTGGGGTGTGCTTAGGCTGGGTGGGGGTTTGCATGCAGCATCAGCAGCACCAGCACCAGCACCAGCACCACCAGCAGTAGCAGCTGATGGGCAGTGGGCCGGCGTTCATGGGCAATGTGTTTCTCGTGGCGGATCCTTCTAAGAGAGGCATGCTGGGCGTGAAGGTCGAACCATCGCCATTTACAGGGATGGGGGAGTTGGTGGGGCAGCAGCGGCAGCAGCTGCAAGGGTGAGTGAGTGATTGGTGTGATGAGGCTAGGGTGTTGCTCCTCACATCCCTCTAAGAGGGGCATGCTGGGAGTGAAGGCCGAGCCCTCACTTTTTATAGGGATGGCCCCCACTCAACTCTGCCTTTTTCCCACGCTTTCTTCACCTTCCAACCTTTTTTTTCTGCCGTCCTTCTTTTTCCCCCTGCCATTCAGTTTATTAAAGCGCGCTCTTCTTGGCATTGTGGGCAAGGGGGGCGGAGAAGGGGGGAAGGCAGACGGAGGGGAAGCGGGAAGAAACAGTGGAGAGACGGAGAAAAGTGGGGACGAGAAGAAAAGGGGAGTGGGAGGGAAGGAGGGAGGGAAGGAGAGAGTGAAGGAGAGGGGTGGAAGCAGAGGCGAGGCAATGGAGGAGGGGCAGAAGAGGGGCGGTGAGGGGGAGGGCGTGTTCAGATTCTTCCTGAGCCGAGGCACTGCAGGTGAGCAGCAGAGGAGAACAAAGCAAATCTTCCCACCCACCTCCCCCACGGCCCCTGTCACCAGCCCGTTACTGTGGCATCCCTGTCAGATAGCAAGCACAGTACGAAGTTTTGTTTGCACTGTTACCTGTTCAAATTTGCACTGTTTGCACTGAAGGTATGAAGTAAAGGGCAGCACTGTTGGGACACGGCTGGCCTCCTGATCAGCACTAAGAAATTCTAAGAGTTTGCCTCGACTTATCCCACCCAATTTTTACCCCCCAGCCTGTTACCTGCCCTGCCCTGCCAGCAGCTGTTTCCATTCTCCCTAGTCTAATTTGCTCCGGAGGAAGGCAAGGCAGGGCAGTAGCACGGTTAGCCCTTGGTTGGACAACCAATCCTGTCTCCCGCTAGTGCAATTTGGCCAAACCCACCCTCCTACCTCCCCTCCCCCAGCGCACTACCTGCATCGCCTGCAGCTGTACCCGTTAGGTCCGCACGAAGTCAAAGCCAGCACGATTGGATCCTGGCCTTACCCTCTTGCTAGCTTGTTTGGAATGCCCCCTCAACACTCGTCCCTCTCAACACTCGTTCCCCTCAACACTCGTCCCCCTCAACATCTCGTCCCCCTCAACATCTCGTCCCCCTCAACACTCCCCCCACACCACCCCTCCCCCCAGTGCGCTACCTGCGTCGCCTGCTGCAGCTGTGCCCGTTTTCCCCGGATGAGGTGAAAGTGAAAGCCAGCACGATTGGGTCGCTCTTTCCCAAGCATACCAGGAACACCTGATATCATTCCGTTTTTCACCTGCTCCCTCCTCCCCCAGCCCGCTACCTGCATCGCCTGCAGTGCAGCTGTCCCTGTTTGATCGAGGCCAGCACGATCGGGTGTAATCTAACAGTGCCCCATCCCGTCCCTCTTTTTCTGCCAACATCCCCCGTTTTTCTTCCCTTCCTCTCCCCCCCCCCCCTCTCGCCCCCCCTCTCAGCACGCTACCTGTGTCACCTGCAGCTGTACCCGTTCACTCCCGACGAAGTGAAGGCCAGCACAGTATGACCTCGCTCTCTTCATCTACCTAGCCCGTAATACTTCATAGCATCCCTCCCTCCCCCTTCAACCACCACCACCCCTTCCCTCAGCGCGCTACCTGCGTCGCCTGCAGCTATACCCGTTCGCCCCGGACGAGGTCAAGGCCAGCACGATTGGATTTTGCCCGCTTGAAGTCGCGTACCGATTCTTCAAGGTTGGTTTGGAGTGGGTGCTTGGGTGGTTGAGGCTTCAACTGAGTGATATCAAGGAGGTATTTACTGATAACAGCACACAGAGCACAGTTGCTTCCTGCCCGCTTGAAGTCGCGTACCGATTCTTCAAGGTTGGTTTGGTGAGGGGGAGGCTTTAACTTGAGAGTCCCTCTTGGTCATGGAGCCATGCCTCTTCTCTTAACATAGACGACTTTTGAGGCGGCTAAAAAAAAGTCGTCTTTTGTGGCACCTAAAAAAAAGTAGTCTTTTGAGGCGCCTCAAAAGGAGTCCGTTCCATGAGTCCCTCTTGGTCATAAAGTCATGCCTGCTCTCTCAACAGCACATGCATGTATGATATATCTCTCTTTGCAAGCCCATTATTCGCTACCCCCCCCCCACTTTGCTACCCCCCCCCCACTTTGCTACCCCCCCCCCCCCCCCCCCCCCCCCCACCCCCCCTCCTCCCCTTTTTTTACCTCCCCATTCCCGCCCTTTGTCATCCACTCCTTTCCCTTGCCCGCTTTTCCGCCCCCCGCTGTTCGCCTTCAACAGCCGATGCCCGTCTTATGCTGCCCTTCCCCTTTGTCGCCCCTTCCCCTTCTCCCCCCACCCCGCCCTCGCCCAGTTCCGCCTTTGTACCGGACGAGGGTCAGGTGCGGGCGGCGCGGAAGCTACTGCGCGAGCTCCCCCTTCCCCTTCCCCTTCCCCTTCCCCTTCCCCTTCCCCTTCCCCTTCCCCTTCCCCTTCCCCTTCCCCTTCCCCTTCCCCTTCCCCTTCCCCTTCCCTTCCCTTCCCTTTCTTTCCTGCCCAGTTCCGCCACCCGCTTTTTGCCTTCATGCCGGACGAGAGCCAGGTGCGGGCAGCGCGGCAGCTACTGCGCGAGCTGGAGGGGACTTTTGAGTCGACTCAAAAGTCACCGCTGTTTGCCTTTGTGCCGGACGAGGGTCAGGTGCGGGCGGCGCGGAAGCTACTGTGCCAGCTCCCCCTTCCCCTTCCCCTTCCCCTTCCCCTTCCCCTTCCCCTTCCCCTTCCCCACATCCCACCCTATGCTGCCCGTCCCCCTTCCCGCCCAGTTCCGCCACCCGCTTTTCTCCTTCGTGCCGGACGAGAGCCAGGTGCGGGCAGCGCGGCAGCTACTGCGCGAGCTGGAGGGGCTGCAAGCGGCGGAGCGATTCCAGGGAGTGCCGGTGTTCAGCGCGGCGAATCTTACCATTGCAGTGCCGTCCAAGGGCGGGCAGCTGAGGTGGTGAGTGAGTGATGGGCCATCCTGCTATGGAGTGCAGGTGTGTTCAAGACAAGCAGAGGGCGATTCCAGGGAGTGCCGGTGTTCAGTGCGGCGAACCTGACAATTGCAGTGCCATCTAAGGGTGGCCAGTTAAGGTGGTGAGTTAGGTGCAATGAAGGCACTACCTATTCCAGGGAGTGCCGGTGTTCAGCGCGGCCAACCTGACAATTGCTGTGCCGTCCAAGGGTGGTCAGCTGAGATGGTGAGTGTTGTGTTGGTGGGGGCGTGCTGAATGGTCGAAAGTATGGAGTCATCGTTTAAGCGAGTGCCGGTGTTCAGCGCTGCGAATCTGACCATCGCTGTTCCGTCCAAGGGCGGCCAGTTAAGATGGTGAGTGTAGTTTGTTGGTATGGTAAGTGAGTGGTGGGTGCGAGCTGGAGGGGCTGCAAGCGGCGGAGCGATACCAAGGAGTGCCGGTGTTCAGCGCTGCCAACCTGACCATCGCAGTGCCACCCAAGGGGGGGCAGCTGAGGTGGTGAGTGGTGGTGGTGTGTTGAGATGACAGGTATGGTATGGAGCCAGTGTTCAATGCGGCGAATCTGACCAGCACTGTGCCACCCAAGGGGGGGCAGCTGAGGTGGTGAGTGATGTGCCACTGCCCCTATCTCCTCAGGCCGGCATGTTCCAGTGCCGGTGTTCAGCGCTGCGAATCTGACCATTGCTGTGCCATCCAAGGGGGGGCAGCTGAGATGGTGAGTGCTGGTGACAGCGTAGTGAGTTGACCATGCCGTTCCTTAGGTACACCATTGACCAGCGTTGACCAGCTTTGACTTCTGTCGACTCGTAGTTTCCTCTGTGACCCCGCAGATATCGCCCGTAGTTTTTCAACAACAAGCAGCTGGACCGACTGCTGGTGTCCAGCGTTGACCAGCGTTGACCTACGTTGACCGGTGTTGACCCTTGTGGATTCATATCTTCGCCTCCTCCCCCGCAGGTACCGCCCCTACTTCTTCAACAAGAAGCAGCTGGACCGACTGCTGGTGTCCAGTGTGGACCACCCTTGACCAGTGTTGACCAGCGTTGACCGGCGTTGACCACTGTTGACCAGCGTTGACTCACAGCTTCCCTTCTTCCCATGCCCTCGTTCGACCCCCAACAGGTACCGCCCCTACTTCTTCAACAAGAAGCAGCTGGACCGACTGCTGGTGTCCAGTGTTGATCAGTACTTCATGGGATTGATGCGAGCGAGGAGAGCCGCCAGACAAGCGCAGGTGGGGGGGCAGGAGGAATGGCTGTTTGAGATATTCAAGGGGATGCTTGCTGTGCTGGGTGCTGCGGTCTAGGCATCAATCAACAAGTAAAAGGGGCTGCAGAAAGGGAGTGGGAGAAACAAATTTTCCCACTCGATGACATGGTTCAGAGTGCTTTTTGCTTCGTCCCAAACATCCTCTCCCCTCTTTTGCCCTCTCCCTTTCCCCTTTCTCCCCTTCCCCCCTCTCCTCTCGCCTCTCCCCGACCACCCTAAATGCACACCCAGATTGCTGCAGTGGATGGGGCAGGGGCAGCAGGAGGTGGGGGAGGACCAGAAGAGGAAGACCCATTTGATTCCTTCCCAGACCCTCATGAGGTGAGGAGAGCCCGGCAAGGTGGGAAGGGTAAAGGGGAAAGGATATTTTCGAGTTGATTGAAAGCACAGGTGGAGGGGGGGGAGCAGCAGAGGACGAGGATCCTTTTGACTCCTTCCCAGACCCGCACGAGGTGAGGGGGGTGGAGGGGTAGGGGAAAGAGAAAATCGTGGGTGGCTAAAAGGTGGGCAATGGGATCAAATTAAAACACAGGTAGAGGGGGAGAAGGAGCAATGGAAAGTAGGATTTGTTTGATTCCGTGCTGGCCCTGCATGAGTTGAGGGGGGAAAAGTGGAGGAAAGGAGAAAGGGGATGGTGGATGGAACTCAAATGAAGGGTGGATGAGAAGGGGGATGCGTTTTTTTATTTCTTTGTTTCTTTCTTTCTTTTTACCCTTTTCTGACCTTAAATACAGGTTTTAACACTACCTTTCCAGTCCACTCTTGTCCATCGGACTACTACTAGTAGTGCATCTCTACTTGCCCCCTTAACCCTCCTCCCCCCCTTTTCCGCCTTCCCCCTTCCCCCCCACCCATGCCCTTCTCAGTTTGCGGATGATGGCATGTTCCCAGACCCTCCAGAGGTATGAATACATAGCCAGAGGCATGATGCCTTCGCATGAAGCCCCCGTCCCTCACCATCACGATGGCATGAGGGTATGGGGCTTCTGAAATGAAGGGCTGTGCACAGCTGCAGTTTCATAGCTGGTGAGGGAATGGTGCTTAAGGCGCGCAGTTGAAGTTTCAGGGCTGTATGGCTTGCTTTGGAACGAGAGAGCTCTGAGGGATGTTGGCATGTCCCATTAAACTAAGGTGCATCAATGATGCAGCAACTTAAGATAGGGTAGCGCGTTCAATACCAGGCCGCATGTCCGCAGGCCTCATGTCCGCAGGCCTCATGTCTGCAGGCCTCATGTCCGCAGGCCTCATGTCTGCAGGCCGCATGTCCGCAGGCCTCATGTCTGCAGGCCTCATGTCTGCAGGCCTCATGTCCGCAGGCCTCATGTCCGCAGGCCTCATGTCTGCAGGCCTCATGTCCGCAGGCCTCATGTCCGCAGGCCTCATGTCTGCAGGCCTCATGTCTGCAGGCCTCATGTCTGCAGGCCTCATGTCTGCAGGCCTCATGTCTGCAGGCCTCATGTCTGCAGGCCTCATGTCTGCAGGCCTCATGTCTGCAGGCCTCATGTCCGCAGGCCTCATGTCTGCAGGCCTCATGTCTGCAGGCCTCATGTCTGCAGGCCTCATGTCTGCAGGCCTCATGTCTGCAGGCCTCATGTCCGCAGGCCTCATGTCTGCAGGCCTCATGTCTGCAGGCCTCATGTCCGCAGGCCTCATGTCTGCAGGCCTCATGTCTGCAGGCCTCATGTCTGCAGGCCTCATGTCTGCAGGCCTCATGTCCGCAGGCCTCATGTCTGCAGGCCTCATGTCTGCAGGCCTCATGTCTGCAGGCCTCATGTCTGCAGGCCTCCCAGAGGTATGAACAATGCGCTGGTGTGGGGCCGCCAGGAGCATAGCCACATAGGATGTTAAATCATAAGCCCATAGAGGCCGCATTGAAGCATGAAATATGCTTGAATGCGGCGTGTTTTTGAAACCCGCAGAGGCATGCGGGCTTCTCTTTCCGATATCGCAGATTGTTTTTGAGGATTCTCAAAAACAATCTGCAGCATCTTTTGAGGATTCTCAAAAACAATCTGCAGCATCTTTTGAGAATTCTCATAAACAATCTGCAGCATCTTTTGAGAATTCTCAAAAACAGTCTGCAGCATCTTTTGAGAATTCTCAAAAACAATCTGCAGCATCTTTTGAGAATTCTCAAAAACAATCTGCAGCATCTTTTGAGGATTCTCAAAAACAATCTGCAGCATCTTTTGAGAATTCTCAAAAACAATCTGCAGCATCTTTTGAGGATTCTCAAAAACAATCTGCAGCATTTTTTGAGAATTCTCAAAAACAATCTGCAGCACCTTTTGAGAATTCTAAAAAACAATCAGAGGCGTGCGGGCTTCTCTTTCCGATATCTTTCCCCCTTGCAGATGCACGGGTTTTCTCACGTGCTGGGCCCCATTCTCGGCTTTAGCTTTATATCACTGCATCAAACACAAGCACTTCACCCCATCCCACCCCAACCCCATCCCCACCCTGCTCTCATCCCTCCCCTTCGCTCCCCTTCCCTCCGCTTTTGCCATATCCCTCCCTCTCTCAGATGCAAGAATTTGCGCAAGAGTTGGGTCCCATGCTCGGCTCCTTCCCCTCTGCCTCCCTCGGTTCTTCCTCCCCGGGGTCAACCCTGCCACTTCTAAGAGACGCAGAGCTGGTGGTGCAGGAGTGCATGGATCGGGTGCTGCTGAGCAGCCAATGGGGGAGGAAACTCGCTGGTTTGGAGCCATCTTTCACCGTCATTGTGGATTCGTTTGAACGGAGGTGAGCTGAGCTAAAAGATTGTTTTTTGGGGGAAAGGTGGGCGTGTGAGAGAACAGCAGAGATGGTGGTGCAGGAGTGTATGGATTGGGTGCTGCTGAGCAGCCAGTGGGGGAGGAAACTCGCTGGGCTGGAGCCATCTTTCACTGTTATCGTGGACTCGTTTGAACGGAGGTGAGCAATCGCTGCTGCAGTGCTGCCCTTCCCCGGGTCAACCCTACCAGTGCTGCGAGATGCAGAGCTAGTGGAGCAGGAGTGCATGGATCGGGTGCTGCTGGGTTCCCAATGGGGGAGGAAACTGGCAGGGCTGGAGCCTTCCTTCACTGTTATTGTTGACTCGTTTGAAAGACGGTGGGCGAGGACATGTCCCTGAGAGGTGGCGGAGGCAGAGGCGGCGGTGGTGGATGCAGAGATCAAGGCGTTTGGCAGCTGGGGTTGATAGATCTATCCTCTATCCTTGACAATGGTACCTGTAACCCACAAGCGCACTCTTTCTCACTTCTTGCAGGGTGGAGGAGGCAGAGGTGGTGGTGGACGCAGAAATCGAGGCGTTTGTCAGCTCTGCCATCACCAGCCTCTCCCTCACATCAAGACCTCTTCTTCCCCTCGTATCGCCCCCCCACTGCTGTCCCGTCATTGACAGGGTGGCGGAGGCAGAGGCGGTGGTGGATGCGGAGATCAAGGCGTTTGTCAGCTCTGCCATCACCAGCCTGTTGAAGAAATGCGACCTGCTGCCACAACAGCTCTCCACCGCGCCTCACAAGGGGAAAGCTGAGGACAAGGCGAAGGAAAGGGGAAAGGCAAAGAACGGCTCTGTTGAAAGCGAGAAAAAGGGGGATCCAGAGCAGGTGCTGTCAGTGCAACAGCAACAACAGCAACAGGAGCAGCAGAGCCATCAACAGCAGCAGCAGCAGCAGCAGCAGCAGCAGCTGCAGCAGAAGAAGAAGGATGAGAGTGGTTTTGCAGGAACTGGTTCTGCTGCACTCTCCGTCAGCCCCTCTCCCAGCACTGCCAGCACCACAGCCCCTGGTGATACTGTCACACCCACAGCACCTGATACTGTCACACCCACAGCACCTGTTACTGTCGCACTCACGCTTGATACAGTCACAGCTGCTGGAGGCAAGGGGGGAAAGGTGAAGGGGAGGGGGAGTGGGAGCAAGGAGGGCAGCAAGGAGGGGCATGCTTTGGAAGGGGCTTTACTGGCCGGTCTCCTGCGATTGATGGGGGAGGATGGTGCTGCTGACCTGCTATACAAGGCAATGGGAATTGGTCGCAAGAGTGCTGGTGGTACTGGTGGGAAGGAAGGGGGTGGTGTTGGGGGGAAGGAAGAAGGTGGTGTTGGGGGGAAGAGTGGGGGAGGGAGTGGAAAGCGGAGGATGAGGGAGGATGAGGCTGCTGAGCTGTTGGGTAAGGCTATGGCTTTTCTAAACAGGGACGGGGATGATGCTGGGATCAAGAGTGGGGGTGATGTTGGTGGGGAGATTGGGAGTGTTAGAGTGAAGCATGGGAATGATAAGAGTACTGACAGTGTGGATGATAATGTGGGAAATGACCAGAGTGGGAAAGGACAGTCATCAGGTAGTAATGATGCGGGCGATGTGGGGTTGAGTGGTACAGCTGGGAAGGATAATGCGTTGACTGGAAGTGGTACAGGAGCGGATAGCAGTGGAGTGATGAGCCCTGTTGACAGCAGCATCGTTAAGACCGCAACCAGCAGTGCTGGTGTTAATACCAGCAGCGAAGGCAGCAGCAGCAGCAACAGCAGCACAGTCACAGTTAGCTCCTCTGGGAATGCAGAGCTGAGTGGGAAAGAGGGGATCAAAGGAGCTGTCGAGAAAAAGGGGGAGGAGGTGAAGGAGTTAGCAGGCGAGGAAAAGCGTCTGGCGCAGGAAAGGACTGATGAGGATCCGGCACAGGAGAGCATAAGGCAGGTGGTGAGTGCGATACGGGGAAAACTGGCTGCTGCTGTGGCTGAAGGGACACGTGGCATGGCTGGATTGGTGGATTCTGCCAAGGAAGCAGTGGCTAGGCTGGCTCGTCAAGAGGGTACATCTTCAAACGAATCTGCTTCAAATGAATCGGCAGATGCTGTTGCAGGAAAACCTTCTGTAGAGACAGGCGCTGGTGTTGCAGCCGGGATTGCTTCGGCAGCAGAGCCTGGTCTTGCAGCTGGTGCAACGGAGCTGGACAAGTCACATGCGATGATGAGTGCAGCACATCTAGAGGCTGCGCCATTGGCGGCCGATCAAAGTAAATCTCCTACAGGAGATGTAGCAGCAGCAGGCGGATTGGCAGAACCTTCTAAAGTGGGTGCTTCTGAGGCGGATGACACAGCGGTATCTGAATCAGAAATGAGAGATGCTGAGGAAAGAGCTGCTGCGGCTGCCGCCGCTGCTGCAGCAGTTGCGGAAATAGCTGCTGCCGCTGCTGCCAACGCTGCTGCTTTGGCTCGACCTGAACGTTTGCCTATGTCCCAGCCGAAGCTAGCGATCTTGGGGGTGACAGTACCGAAGCTACAAGTCCGTTCCGAGGCTAAGGGTGGTGACAAGAAGGCCAAGGAGATTGAAGGTGAGAGTGATGAAGGGAGTGAGACTGGGAGAGATGGAGGGAGTGAAAGTAAGAGTGAGGGAGGGAGTGAGAAAACAGGTTCTGGTACTCGGGAGAATGGTTCCACAACTGAGGGAAAGGTGGAGACATTAATTTCGCCAGCAAGAGGAGGGCCTAATGGGAAAGCCTCAGATGAGAACGTTATTGCCACTGCCAAAGGACCTGTTGTGTTGCCTGATGTTGAGGCGGCAGCTGCAGCGGCCGCAACAGCAGCAGCAGCAGAGGCAGCCGCACAGGCAGCAGCAGAGGCAGCATTAGCAGGAGTGAAAGAAGCCATTGCAATCGCATCAAGGGACTTTGAGGAGACTGTCCGCAGGGGTGGTGTTCCGGACGCAAGCAGAGACCCACTGTTTATTGCAGATCTCGGGGAGGACAGGGAGGAAGCTGGGTGGGGGGATCAATCAGAATTTGGCCTCAAGCGTGCTGGATGATCTGCTAGGTGGATTAGGAGGCCTTATTGGCAGAGCTAGACTGAGTCCTGTTGACCAAGACAGCTTTGTGACAGGCAGAGCACATGTTGTAGAGAGGCATGTCACAGTTGCAAGACCACTCCTGGATGTTTCGCGAGTTCCTTATAACCATACGGGATTTCCTTTCAGTCAAGAAGTTGATACAAAATGACACACAACTCTCGTGCATGAAGTCACATACGGTAACAAAATGTCACAAAAGATCAGCTAGGGATCCGTCCAACCTCGCGTCTTTGAACATGGAAACTTCTCTTTCATAGTCTTCAATGCAGAAGACCTCTTTGGCTTGGTAGGAAAACTGAGCACGTGACTCATGACTTCCACAATTCTTTACAAGCTGGGAAAGAACCCTTGCCTGGGTATCCTTTTCCACAGATGAAGCTGGTCGGTAGCGGTTTACAAATTCCAGCAGGCTTTGTGATGTCTTCTTGCATTTCAGAGCACCAACCTTGGCCGAGTCAAGCTGAGTCCAGGAATCAATCTTGGAGACCAGATTTTTGGAGGGATGCAGCTTTGGGAGAAACTGTACTGCTTCACTCTGTCCCAGCCTCAGGAGCTGCAACACAGAGCTTCCAAGCTCTTCAGTCTCAAGGTCGCAAGGAGCTAGTACCTCGTTCACAAGAGTCCTTGCAAGGCTGTCCTTTCGGTCCTTGGGGCACTGCTTGAACATACTCAACACCAAAACACAGCGATTCTTCGCGTTTCCATCCATCAGCTGCGTAACCAGCTCCTTCATCAAGCCCTTAATGCGATTATCCTTGTGCAGCAGCCCCATAGCCAGCCGCTTCATAAATCCTTGTGCCTTCAATTTCTTAGAAAGAAGCAGATGCGCATAGACAGCATATGCCTCCAGTTGTGCATCACTGGTGTCAGAATCCATCAGACCACTCACTCCATCCAAGAGATCCGGGAACTCATTCGGAGAAGCGAGTATTAGTTTAGCCACAGTGGCAAGTGCAGCGACCTTCACCGGTTTCTCCTCATCCTCCAAGAATCGTGTAATCAGAGTGCGATGTCGCTTTGCAAGGTCAACAGACAGCAATAGAAAGCTACTCAAGCCTCTCAATGCTGCCAATCGCACAGCAAGCGGAACATCACCTCCGGAGGAAAGCGAGATGAGCATGGGAATATAGCACCCTGGCATGAAATTCCCGTCCAAAAGCAATTGCGAGAAACGCTGAGCAGCATCTGCGCATAAATTTGAATAAATATGAATAGATGCAGCAAAACCAGAAACACGGGCAAGAACTTCACGTACCTTCTTCTTGAACCTTCAGATCTTCATGCTGCAGATAATCAAACTCTGCATTTTTCGATTCACCTCTGGTTGTGCGCAGGCGCTTTATGAAGATATCAGAAGCAACCTTGTATCGTTGAGAGAGGTGGCCAATAAGGTTGAGGAACGTAACTGAGACTCTAATATTCTGCTCTTGTTTCCACAAACCATGATACTCCATGAAAGATTGAAGAAGTCTTTGGGATATTTGAACTGAGTTTTGCAATGAGAAAACACAGTCCATTGTCTCTTCCAGAAAACTCTCTGACAGTTGGTTGAAATCTTTCACAAAAATCTGCTGAAGCTCAACTCCAGAGCAGTGTCCAGACTGGAGAGCGGCTGCAAAGGCCTGCAAATGGGACAAAGTAAGTGGGATGAATGTATACCTTCAAGCGCGCTGAAGAGCCCCACAATACCTTTAAACACCACGACACCATGGGCCTGGAAGTGTGTTGTTCTTCATGACTGCTCTTGAGGAAAAGTTGAACAGCTCGCTGAAGATGCTTGACCATGAATGAATCATATGTACTGGAACCTTTATGTTCAGTGCAGGTTGGAGCGAAAAGCCAAATGATCCTGAAAGGTGATGCGCACCAATTCGAGAGACTTTCAGACTGTGAAATGCAAGAAAACGCTTGGTCCACAATCTTCCTGTAGGTTTTGATGGTGGCTTGATTGCGCGAAGCCTCATCACTCAAAAAATCCTTCGCTGTTGCCAAGGATGTCTCGGAACATTTCACAGAAAACTCCGCCCAGCGTTCATAGTCATGGAGATAGCACTGAATGACTTTGCTTGCGACAGGCCGCGATGGTCGGCTAAGGCCAACGTTGAAGAGATTCGCCAGCTCGTCATACACCATTTGATGAGGAAAGGTTAACAGACAGAGAACTTCACCCACACCTTCCCAGGTCTCCAGACACGTAAGACCTGACTCTGGCGGAACTGATATCAGCCTGAACAGAGCGTCCATAAGCAGCTTCAACTTTCCGACATGATCCCCCCGGGCATGAAAGGACAAAAACTGCTTTGAGAGGCTAACAGCTTTCAGCCTGACAAGCTTGCTTTTGTCGCACAGCGCAGATGCCAATGCTTCTGATATAACCTCTGTCAGTTCCGTGTTGTGATGATTTCCCCCCTTCGCAGCGGCGACAAGAGAGGTTATAGCCTGTAGTCGACATATCGCAGAGCGGTTGTTGAGAAGAGCTTGCAAAAGCTTTACTAGTGCGAGCGAGTCGCTTTTGCTGATCCGATGGCTTTGCTCTAGGCAGCTTCCGACGATGCTGATGTAGTGCTTACGAACAGAGGCTCTTTCGCAAGTCAACATCAACGATAAACGATCTGGAGTAGGAAAACGTCACATGCGAACGAATATGAAAAATCACGACATAAAGTCGACATTACATACGTTATCAAACGGACTTACCCAGATACAGGCCTGTTATGATCAACGCGTCTTTTCCGCAAGATGCTCGCTTCGCCAGCTTGGATGCGAGCGACTCTGTACGAAGATATTAGTTTCATTCAATTATCCACGCACTAGATCCGCATTGGCTTACCAAGTTTGTTCCACGTGTCAACGTCCAGGGTACCTCGTGACGCCAATGTCTCAATCGCAGCAACATCAGATGACTGCGAAAAAACAAGCGGCATTGTCATTGTCTGCTCGGAATCTATAAAGGCAACAGGAGTAACTGACCAGCTGTTGTAAGGAATCCATTTCTGTGCGTTGGACGACCCAACCGGAGTGCGGTTTTTGCTGCTGATGGTAGTTGCTCCTCACGAGTAGTTGTGACAGGGAAATCCCTCTTTGAATGGATGGATCTATGTAGATGCACAAATTCGAGCTACAGAGAGCGCGTACACGAGAAGTGATCAGAATGTTGTTACATTGTCGCTTAACCTCGCTGTGGCGTGAAATTAAGCTGGTAACTGCTAAGCAAACACAAAAGTTTGTTCTATTTCCAGAAATGTACACGAGCTATGCTTTACTAATGACCTGTTATGGGACTCTCGCGAGACAAACGGAGCCCAAGCTTCAGAGCCAAGACATTATAGCAACATCCTTCGATGTTAGAACGAGGTTGATTTGAAGCGAATGGAAAGCGCCAGCTGACTCGAAATTTCTCCGTTAGTAGTTCTTGCGGAATCGGCTTTAGCACTGCTTGCGCTAGCGGAGGGAAGGCTCAGGGTAGCAGAAATGGCCGCAAGTGGTCGAAAAAGAAGAACCCCTTCATGGTGGTCCGAATGCGTACTGTTGCGTCTATTCTTCCTAGTCCTCGTCGCGAGCCGGGAAATCGCCGTTGGAGTCCGCGCAAGCGCCGCGGCGGAGCGACGAAAGGAGATGGATCAGATGCTGCAAGCTCAAGTGAGAGGAAGTGAGAGGATTTTTCCGTGCCTGAGTTTCATCCAGAGCTCATGCTGACCTACAGTGTAGGCCGACGCTGGTGATGCTGCCTTGCGGGGTGAGTTCCGGCGAGGACGAGGTGCAATGCAGGCATCCATCATTATACCGTGAGCCCGAGAATTGTTTCCGCTGCCCGCGGAGAATTCTGAAACGTTTCAAATTCTGAGACGTCTCAAACTTGGTGATGCGTCATCATAATGTCACCAACCTGAGAGTTGTTCCCCTGCCAGTAGCGAATGTGTCAAGTGAGGAAGACTGGAGCAGAGCAGATGTAGCAGGATGGGTGTACAGTGTGTGTTGAAGAAGGAACAAAAGTTCCATATTGTGTCAAATCTCGTTTCAGCTCCCACCATTCCTCCATTCGTACTCCAACTAGTAGCCCCACCCGTGTTTTACCCGTCGGGCCCAATTCTATCTTTCTAAGTTGTCTTGTCATCATGGATTCACTGTACATGTAAGGATGGATCCACCTGGTATCCTCAATCTGCCTCCTCCTTAGCTTCTTCTCTCTGGACTTGCATCTATCCCCATCTGTCCACTAATTGTCGCTCTCTTTGATTCCGTGCCCCACGTCATCTCCACCAGGTGGATGAGATGCTGGCGTCCTTCGAAAAGGATGCTGACGTGGCATCGCTGACTCAGCAGCAGACGTCATGCTCTTGCTATCGCATTCGCAACGAGTACTGCTGCCACCAGTATATGTGCATCTGCTCGCCCATCTGCTGGAACGGCTACGAGGTGAATGGGGGTATGAGGGGAATGAGGCTATGCGGGGAATGAGGGTATGTGGGGAATGAGGGTATGAGGGGAATGAGGGTATGAGGGGAATGAGGGTATGAGGGGAATGAGGGTATGCGGGGAATGAGGGTATGCGTTGAATGAGGGTATGAGGTGAAAGATGCGATGAGGTGAATGAGGGTATGAGGGGAATGATGGTACGAGGGTAATGAGGGTATTAGGGATATGAGGGTATGAGGGAAACAAGGGCATGAGGTGAATGAGGGAAATGAGGGTATGAGGGAAATAAGGGCATGAGCTGAATGATGGTATGAGGGAAATGAGGCGACGAGGGAATGAGACGACGAGGGAATGAGGCTACGACGGGAACTAAATTATGGGGGAACGAGGTTAATAAGGGAAACGAGGCTATGTGAGGAATGTGAATAGTGCTACTTCTCACCAGCATAGGCCATTTCTGCTGCCAGTGTGTACATGTGCATGTGCTTGCTCATGCGTTGGAACACATACAGATATGAGGTGAATGCAGTGGCATTGTGGCACACACCAGCAGCAGATTGCACAGCATCCCAACCCCCATTGGAACACGCGCACCAGCAGGACTGCTTCACAACTCCAACCTCGTCATGATTCATTTCCATTCCTAATCCCCCGTCCAGCTCATTTCTCTCGGTCAACCCAAGTGCGCACCAGCTGCAGAGCATACAGCACCTCCCCCCGGCCAGGACCCCGTCCTCACCCCCCTCAACTGCTCGCACAAGCACGAATTTACCTCCACACTCTCAGATCTCGCCTCCGTGACTGCAGAAGCACGCTTGGCTGTGCGAAGCACAGGGGGGAGGGGGGGCGGAGAAGGGGATGGTGGGGAAGGGTGGTTGGGGAGTCGTAAGGGAGTAGATTGGCGGTTTGGGCTGACCATGCTGCAGCGGTTCAACGACAGCTCTGTCAACCTCTCCCACTTTACTGGTAAGCTTCTCACTTTTCACGTAGGTCTGGTAGGAGTTGCATCAGAACTTGTTAAGAGTCTCCCTTTCCGAATTTGTAAGTTAGTTTATCGTTCTATGGTTAGTTAACTTGTGAGTTTTGAGGCATATCAGATGGTCCCAAGGGCTTGGATAAAATCCGGGGCCTTCTAAGTGATTTTAAAGTTTTCTGAGCCATTTCAAAACTCCCCTATCCATCTATCTTCTTCTCCTTTCTGCTTTTCTGTCAAAGAACCCCCCTGTTCTGTGGGATGTCCTCCTTTGTAGTCTGTAACATGTTTATATCCCATTCTGTTTCTTCTGCATTCTTGAGTTCACTCAATACCACTTGACTCAATAACGCATTCTCCATCCATCATTCCAACCTCTCTGTGCTTCAGTCAAACACATTCCCACCCCTGTCTCAACGGTTTTTTGTTGAGTGGAAGTTCACGCAGCGTAATTCTCATACAGCTAAAATATCGGCTGCTCCTCATACTTTCAGGCCTCCCTTTGCTTTGATCTCCGCCTCTTTCGCGTGCCCTCTCTGCCTGTTGTCCGCTCAAAACGCAGAGAAGGTCCTCACGCTCCTCCTGGCCAACAACTTTAATGGTGATGATGCCAGGAAGAATGCCAATCCCTCCTGTCATGTCTCGCCCTCTCTTCCTCACAGAGAAGGTCCTCACGCTCCTTCTTGCCAACAACTTCACAGCGCCAGCTCTGCTGCGCCCCATGGTCACTCGCTTCATGCTCCCTCGCGAGGAGCTGGCTCTTGAAAAGTAAGCAGTCGTTTTGGTTACAATGAGCCCTGTAGGGCGCTGCTGCTTGTTTAGGCCTGTAATCAGGCCCTCTGCACCAGCTCCGCTGTGCCCTATGGTCACTCGCTTCATGCTCCCTCGCGAGGAGCTGGCTCTAGAAAAGTGAGCGAGCGCACAAATGCATATGGTACCAGCTGGTATTATTGAACTCTAAAAAATGCATCTTGTCGCTTATGATGCAGAGCCCTTGAGGCCTCTGTGCCTATCTTAGTGTGCTTCATCTGGCTCTGCTGCTACCCATGGTGAATCACTCATGAGGAGCTGATCCTTGAAGAGATGAAAAAAATACTTCGGTTAGGATGGACCCCGTAGGACGCTGCGGTTCACTTAGGCCCTTGAGTGAGCGGGCTTTTCGTGCTGGTTTTGCTGCACACTGTGGGCACTCGTTAGGAGCTGGTTCTTGAAATGTGAGAAGATGCTTTGGTGAGAAAGGGCGCTGCAGAACGTTGCGACTTGCTGGAAGTCCCTTTATGCCGGTTCTGCTGCACTTGCTACGCGCTCTCATGAGGATCTGGCTCTTGAAAGGTGAGCGGAAATTTAGGTTAGACAAGCCCTGTAGGACGCTGAAACTCGCTCAGGGCATGGTCGTTTCACTTACGGTCGCTTCACGCCAACTGCACTGTACCTGATGGTCACTCAGCTAAGGATTGGTTAAACCTCTTTGGGGTGCTGCCTAAAAAGCCCTTTGTAGAGCTGAATCGAACAGCATAGATGGGGAGTTTTTTTTTCCTCACCCTATGTTTGACATGTTCCCCCTTGTGTTACAACTTACAACCCCTTGTCACAATATGTTCAAATCACACCCCCTTGTGTCACATCACATTTTCTCTTTGTGTTGCCTTTTTGTCACACCCCTCCCCCATCCGCATCCAGGATGAGAATGAAGGGAGGCGAGGCGGTACACGCGCGGTTGCTGCAGGCAATGATTGAGTTTGCTGTCACGCCCATCCTTTCCCCTCGCGTTCATGCCTCCCGCCAAATGTATGTTGTTCCACTCATCTATGCCAGTGACCTTGCTCTCCCCGTATCCTTGCTCTCTGTGATTCTGTGCTTTTACTGAGCTCTCTTTTCGCGACATTACCTTCCAGAACTCTGAAACCTGTTCCTGGCTTATAATTCAACGCAAAATGCACTCTTCAATCACAGGGCTTAGTTGCCTCCTCCCCATGCACTCGCCCTTCCACACACTCTTCCCCTTACCAGCCACGAGCACTGGACCTGAGAGTCACCCCATGACACTCATTCTGGTGACATTTCCAAACTACGCACACACACACTCCCTCACACACTCACCCTCTCGCCCCCTCTCCACGAGCCATAAGCACAGGACCCCAGGGTGACTATCCCATGGCGTTCAGCAGGTGGTTTCAACACATTTCATAAGCAGTTCTTTTCTCCTCTCCCCACTCCCACTCTCTTCCCTCCGCCACCACCAGCCACGAGCACAGGAGCCTGGGTGACGCCCCCACGGTGTTACATTTGAGAATTTCCGTTAGTAACATCATTTGAGAAATCTCAAAAGTAGCAAGTCATTGTGGTGGCTATAGCGCAATTCCAGATCACACTCCTTCGGCCCCTCTCGCTCTCTTCCCTCCGCCACCACCAGCCACGAGCACAGGAGCCTGGGAGACGCCCCCATAGCGTTTATATCTCATCTACTGAGCACATTTTCTCTCCTCCTCTCACTCTCACAGCTCTCCACCACCAGGCACAATCACAGGACTCTCGGAGACGCCCAGCCACCAGCCACCAGCCCAGGACCCTCAGGAGAAGTCCTCATTGCTTCCAGCCTAGTGGTTGTAACACATCCCATAAACGCCTCTCTGTTTCTTCACCTCACCACCACCCCCCCACACACACACCACCAGCCACGACCACAGGACGCTGGGAGACGCCCCTATGGCATTCGGGCTGGTGGAGTTTGAATCTGCATGGAACGCCGCCACCGAAACCCGCCCCCTCTGCTTCGAAAGACTCCTCCTCCCGGGGGTTCTCAAGGGGCAGGCATTCCCGTCCCACCCCATCCAAGGCACCTACCTGGACCGGCACCTGCGGGCAAAGCTGGGGTTGGATTTGCCTGGGAAAGTGGAGTGGGGGAGGGATGGGGTGAGGGGGTGGCGGCCTCGTGTGCTTTATATTACACGGCTGGGAGCCGAGCTGAAGCTTCGCCGCACCTTTCTGCCGGAGAGTCATGAGGCGCTGCTGAAGCTGATGGAGGAGCTGGGATTGCAGGTGAGTTCCTGGTAGCTTCTTGGTGAATTCCTGGTATGTTCCTATCGGGAAACTGGAAGGTTCGTCAGAGTGTGGTTTGGGCTGCCCTAAACATGTTCAAGAGTATAAAGCATTCTTAGAGTGTGGTGTAAAAGTCTATGACTATAGATGATTGTGCCAGTGCCTCTTGTGTGATCATATAACTCCCCAACACGTCAAGCCCTTTCTGTCTCCTCCCTTCATGCTAATTATGCAGGTGACAATGGTAGAGATGGGTCAGTTGACATTTCGCCAGCAATTCGAAGCCATTCAATCTGCCGACATTGTAATCTCCCTGCATGGAGCAGCCCTCACCAACGTGGCTCTCTTTGCCCGCCGCACGACCGCATTAATCGAGATAATGCCATACGGCGTCGCGCACGAGCTTTACTATTCCCTCTCGCTTAACTCCGGCATTCCGTATTTTCTAAAGATGTGCCGCAAGGGAGAGGCACAGGAAGGGGACTTGCCGGAGTTCGAGGGGTTGAGCTACAAAGAATGCATGCACAAAAACCTTGCATGCAAGTGGCACCATATCCACATACGGCGGATCGAACTCACCGACCAGGATTTGATAGACTTGAAGAAAATGCTCCTGGTTGCGAAGGACATTGTTGGAGCAAGATTGGGAGGGTTCGGCAGAGACTTGATGTCTAGTGAGCTGCCTGGGTGGGCTGAGGAGAGGTTTGGGGGCATGTGTGTTGCTAGGGATGTGGACTTGTATGGTGAAAGGAGTGATTTTCTTAGGGTGCCTAATCCAGGGAGAGCGACTGAAGACTTTATTTGTGTGTTGTCAAGAGACAATGCGTAACATGCATATCGTTGCCGTATTTCCCTGGGTATTACATAGATATCAGTCACTAATTCAGGAAAAGAAATGCGGGTATTGGTGCTCAGTTGTATTGTTTGCATTCTCTTGGCGCAAGTGAGGTTTCTAAGTGCATGGAAAGGTGCAAAGTACAGTACTGTACATCAGCAATTCCTTATGTTCTAGGTCTCCGGCTAGCCATAATCCCTTTCTATCTACCACTTATGTTTTCACTTCCTCCATGAGAATTCCGTCGATGGCGGTTTCTATGTTTTCACTTCATTTGCATGCACTCACTTGTTGAGCTCATAACGCAAGTGGCGCTTTTACAAAACGCTTGTGAATTGTAAAAGGGTCCTTGCATTATAGTTCTCAGCGCAATGTCAAGATTGCTAATGGTGAATGCCAACGGCGACGACGGGTGATGGTGCTGCTAATCTTCCCCTACACGTTTTCTTGGATTCTGCTTCATTTGTTAGCAACTACGCATTCCATCATATTCTAGCCCTTCCCGTTTATTAGATATCTCGTGTCTGCGTCCTTTTCATTTTCGACAGCCTTCGCAGCTTCTTCGCCAGGAAAGTAGCACGCTTTTTGAAACAGGGTAACCGAGGCCACACGAAATAGGACTCTTGTAACGAGGGCTCGGGGTTGTTTCAACTCTGCGGAATTGTTCTCGCAGCGAGGGACAGGCGTCCACATCGACCATGTCGCAACCCGGCACATGTTCGCATGACCATGACTGTAGCGATCATGACTGTGGGGCTGGCTTCTCCCTTTATAAGAACGTCGACCTCCCTAAGGTGACTGTCCCTCGGCTTGCTCTCCCCTCCCTTCCGCTGACCCTGCTCTCGTCTCCCGTTGTCTCGCCCTGCGTCTCCCCTCGCTTCCGCTGATCCTGTTTTCGTCTCCCGTTCTCTCGCCCTGCCTCTCCCCTCCCTTCCGCTGACCCTGCATTCGTTTCCTGTTCTCTCGCCCTGCCTCTCACCTCCCTTCCTCTGACCCTGCTTTCCCCTTCCGTTCTCTCACCCACTCTCCTACTGTGCTCTCACCATGCCCTCCTCTCTCTCATTCTGTTCTCTCACCCCGCACTCATCTCACCTTCTCTCGCTCTGCTTTCCGCTCCCATCCTCTTCTGATTTTTCACACAGTGCGCCACCTCGTGTGTTGTTAGTTGATTCTTTTTTTTTTTTCTTGCTCTGCCTTCTGCTCCCCTTCTCTTGTGCTGTCGCACACAGTCCCGCCACCTTGGTTGATACCTGATGCTGTTTCCTTCCTCTCTCGCACCTCCCTCCGTTTCCGTCGTCCCCTTTTCTCACCTCACTACACTCACTAGGTGCGAGCGCTGAACGAGGCAGTGGCGGGGAGCGCAGAGGGTGTGTTTCGCAGCTGGGAAGACCGCATGTCCTTTCCAAGTGTAAGCTATTTCTGTAAGTTTTTGAAACGGAAGTTTAAAACTTCTGCGATGATACGCTGACTGAATTTTTTTCCGGCACTTGCATTCGAAAAGTTGTCAGGTAAAGGCTTGTGTTTCCTCGTGATGGTTAAAGCCTCAGTTTACATTTGACGAGTAAAGCGAACTATCTTAAGCTCTATTTCATGCAAATGCACCAAAGCAGACAACTCTCGTTTCTGCTTTCCATTTCTTTGTCTTTCCATCATTTGCCTTTGATTCCGTTCGCTCCCTTCCCGCCCCCCCATCGCCCTGTTACATTCCTTACCACCTTCTTGTATGAACGCAGCAACCATTGGACAGTAATGAAGACGATCCAGAGCTCATCCTCTTCATTCCGTGAGTCAGTCTGCCAATAGCTGTTTCAGTATTGATTTGATTGCTTAACCCATCCTGTACCAACTCAGCAACCATTGAGCAGCAATGAGGACGATTCTGAGCTCATTCTCTAACCACTCCTGCATCCTCCAACCATACCTCTGCATCTCGTCCTTCCGCTCCCCGCTTCCCCCACCCCTCTCTCCCCTATAGCTTGTCTCCCACCATTTTTCACCACCTATAATATGTGCCTTACTGTAACATGTGTCTTACGAGCATGTGTCTTACTATGGCATGTCCCTTATCATGACATGTCCCTTTCTATCGCATGTTATGGCATGACCCTCATTATGACATGTCCCTAACTATGGCATGTTATGGCATGTCACTATGACATGTCTTATTCCCATACTATGACATGGTTGTGGCATGCCCATTACTATGGCATGCCCCTTACTATGGCATGCTCCTGACTATGTATGTCATGTCTATTACAATGGCTTCACAGTTATGCAAGAGACATAGACCTAAGGCACATGCCAGTGTTGGGGGAACAGCCAGTTGTCATGACTTTACAAGCGCCTGTTCACCCTTTTTTTTAAGTGACGGGCAACTTTTGGCAGTGTTGGGTTCAGAAGTTTTTTTTTTTTTTTTTTTTTTTTAACCAGGCTTGCCAGCGCGAAAGTGTTGGCTGGCGAAAACCAGGATTTCGTGCAGACACTTTTCATCTGCAGTAACAGTTCGCCAGGGTTCTGGGTTTTGGGTGGCAAATGTGGACCGTTGCTTTAACTACCTGCACATGTTAACAACGGATGTGCTGATAAGGAGCATCGGGGTTATTGGGGGAGCAACAGAAGACAATGGTTGTGGCTTCTGGATTGGTTTGATGATTCACATTTGGGGTATCGCACCACTGTACTCCATTACTGTATCTCTTGCACAGCTTTACAACAGATGTGAAGATCAATAGTATAGCCATTATTGGAGGAGCAGAAGGGACCAGCCCTGCCAAGATGCGAGCGTAAGTGTATTCGTTCCATTATGCCTATTCGTATGCTTGCATTGAAGCATCATGTCGAGGCCACGTACCAATCACAAGTTCATTCTGGGGACGTTTTCTTTCCCATCCGATCCTTTCTTTCCTAGTTCCACCCCACCTCCTCCAACACTCCCCCTCCCCCTCCGCCCCTCTCTTCCTCTCTTTCCTCCCCCCTCCTCGCCTTTCTCTCGACTCTAGCAGTTTTATAAATCGTGAGGACATCGATTTCTCTGTGGCGAATGATCTTGCTGCAGTGCAGGTAACACTTGCGGCCGCACAGGTAACGTTTGACTGCCGTCTTCATAACATACGATGGCGCAAGCAAGGTAACACTTGTTACCCACATTGGTGATGTCAAATAGTCACACTGGTAAAATTAGACGACCACACATGATATATGGTGACCACATGGTGCATGCAACGTGTTTCTTAGTCAACCCTAAAGTACCTTCGATTTAGGCTGTGTCCTTTAACCCTAGCTCCAAGTGTGTACCAATTGGGCGTGAAATATATGTGTGCACATGTGATTTTACCAGGAGTGGGACTTGACAGAGAATCTCCAAGGCGAACTGGAATACACCACCAAGTAGGTTCCTTCTTTCTGAACACTCTGACACTACCGGCATTAGCAATTTAAAGTACCAGGACACTGGTGGCACTTTCGTATGCATGATGATCAAATCTTATTAATATGGCATCGATTACATCAATGTATTGTGGCCCTTCATGTACACATAGCATCATGACCCCAACCTCCCTCTTTTTTATCGTAATTTCCTCCAAGTACTCCTTTCCCCCCTTTTCTCTCCCCAGGTACCCTCATGACCAGGGCTCATCAGTTCCTCTCCCACCCTCTGCTCCTCCCCATTATCACCATCTCATCCTACATTCCATGCAATTCTGCTTCACTTCGTTCCCTCTCTCCAGGTTCTCCAAGTTCCAGGGTGTGTCCTCTCTTACCCTCCACTTCCCCTCAAATTTTGGGGGTGATTTTTCTCGGATTCACTTTGTCGGGCTCAAAGGAGAGGCCACGCAGGTAAGCGAGGAGGAATCGAAAAAGGCATATTGGAGCTTTTCTTTGTTGTCGAATGTGAACAAGAGGAGGAGAGAATTCTCCTTTGCAGCCCTAAAGGGCACCTGCCAGTTCCCGTCTCATCAGTTTTACACGCCACTGGCCACTCTCCCTCTGTCCAACTCCTCTACCTTCTATTTCCCTGTGTTTGTTGACAGAACAATCGGCGAGCAGTGCCTGCAGTGGTGTATGAAGCACAGGCCAACCCCAGCGACCATGAGTAAACACACATCCTTGTCACCATACACACATTCCATCCACCAAGCACACATCCCATCCACGCAGACATACCACCCTCTGTTGTTCACCTCTTGATTCATATCATGGCTTGGCAGCCTCAAATCCATGTCACTCCCCTCGTGTACCATGGCGTTCGAAATGGTTTCAGTTGCACCTGTACTGGTTCTAGGATTCACAGCCCGCAACACTCTGACACCCTGTTTTGTTTCTCGTCGTTTATTTGAGCTGCCCCTTGTATTTTGTGGTATGATGTTTTACTTGTGCATGTGTTGTTTCTTATCATTGTGTTTCTCAGGGTTCCGGCTGACATGGGAGTCCCGAAGGTGCTCCATCATTAGGTGTACAGTGTACAGGGTCTTCACCTTCTGTTGGTGTGGGTTTTGCTCATACAATATGATATCTCACTGTTTGGGAATTAGGATACTCAGATATTAACTCATTACTACTAAAGGAACACATTTGGGGGGTACGCTTGTCCTCAATTTGAAAAGGCTTGAAGAGATTCTAGCTTGGATTAATGCCAATGCAAGTTGCTACCGGTATGTGCAATGGTTATTATGAGCACGTGCTTTCCTCTCTGGATTCAGGATATGTAAGCAGATTTAGCAGATACAGTTACTGCTCAAAACATGTTTTTGGTGTGGCTAGTACAGAGTACGTTTCATCGAGTGTGTCGTTCCGAGCGTGACAGCAGAACGCCAAGAATATTGTGTCAGCCACCAGCCACCTGTCAGAAACGCAAAAATGGATCCTCCAGGCACACTGGATAGGTGCGTCGCCACGCCATGCCATGCTCGTTCGAGTAATATTATTAGGAAAAAAACTGTCATATTCTCTTACGGGTATGCTCTAAAATCTTAGCAGACGATAGAGGCTCACCAGTAATCGAGAATGAGGCTCAGGCTACACAGTGTGGTTCGTGGATTCTTGGCGTCGTTCGCGATTCAACTATTTTTCATTGTTTTCGCGTCTGCTGAGTCCTTTGATGCGTCTTCCATCGGAGTCTGTTGGGGGAGAGTAGCATGGCAGCCATTACCACCGCGAATCGTTGTGAAGCTTCTTCAGGTAGGTGTTCTATTTCGTTTCCTTAACACCCGTACTTAGGATGTGCGTCCGATTCTTATAGCTTCCCTACAGGACAACAAAATATCGAAAGTGAAACTTTTTAATGCTGACCCGCAAGTCATGAAGGCCCTCGTTGGATCCAAGCTGGAGGTGAGTTCCTTTCCCCTGCATTTTGCATCATCCTTCTGCTCGGCAGTGTCCCTGATTTCTTTCTCATTAGGTGACGGTGATGGTAGCCAATGAACTGCTGAACGACATGGCCATGAATCCCAAGAAGGCTCAGGACTGGGTTGACTATAACGTCAAGAGATACGCGTTCCCAGGAGGCGCCGATATAAGGTAAGATTACCACCAAGAGGCCAATAGGCATGTTGAGCCCTGCATCTGCGGCTAAGCGTGAACCGCTTTTTGTCTCAGATACGTTTCTGTCGGAAATGAGCCGTTTCTGACATGGGACAATGGAGAGTACAACCTCGTTTTGGCGCCAGCCGTTCAGAACATCTATGACTCTTTAAAGGCTGCTGGATTGGACCAGAAGGTTAAGGTTACTGTCGCGTTCAATGCTGACGTCATGGGAACGTCTTACCCTCCGTCGAAAGCATCTTTCCGGCAAGATATCGCCAACCAGATGCGAAGAATTGTCTCGCTATTCAGTGAAACCGGAGCTCCATTTTCAGTCAATATTTATCCGTTTCTTAACTTATATCAGCAACCAGGAGTCTTCACAATGGGCGATATCTTCCTGGATAGACCAAATGAGCGGAACTTTACAGATCCAGGGACTGGCTTGGTTTACACGAATGTGTTTGACAGCACGTACGATGCCATCTTGACAGCACTATCAAGGATCGGCTTTCCAGATGTAAGACATCGAGTCATCCTTTTTTGGTGTACCTCGTGTCATACTGACCTCCCCACCTGTTTGCTCACAGCTGCAAGTCATTATTGGTGAAATCGGCTGGCCTTCTGATGGGCAAGGTTCACTTAATCCGTATGCCAACAATGATTATGCTCAAGAGTTCAACAATGCCATCATCCAGCACATGCTAAGCGGATCAGGCACGCCTTTGCGCCCTGGCAAGCAGATTGGAGGATTCATATTTGGGTTACTGGACGAAGACATGAAAAGCACACTACCTGGAACCTTTGAGCGCCATTGGGGCATCTTCCGTGCGGATGGAACCCTCAAATACAACCTAGACCTTACAGGGAAGGGCAATCCAAATGCTCAGCTTGTGCCAGCAAAAGACGTGGCATTCTTTTCACGGCAGTGGTGCGTGGTGAAGCAAGGAGCCAATCCTGCAAATGTTGCTGCTGCTTTGACATACGTCTGTGGGGGCGATAAAAGTGTGGACTGCACCCCAATCCTGCCAGGAAGTTCGTGCTACTTCAACAACAAGCTGGAAGATGTCGCCTCTTACGCTTTCAATTCCTACTTCCAGCTCCAGAATCAGAGCCAGGCATCCTGTGATTTTGGGGGTTCTGCTCAGATTGTCACCGCCGATCCATCAAAGGATGGATGCATCTTCTTCATTGGCATGGATCAAGCCAGCATGCTGAAATCCTCGTCCAGGAAACACTGGATCACTTTGACACATGCAGCCTTTGGCTGTACCTTGGCAATGCTACTGATATGGTTCCTTTGATTTACAAAAAGGTAGCAACCATCCAACACCTCAGCCTTGTATCAACACCACTTGCAGCTGATTGACCTGTGTGAAGAGGGGGATAGATCAAATACCGAAGATGGGGTTACCGGTATTCTTCACCGGACTGTTTATGGCAAGCAACTACTGTACATGTATGCACTGTTGAAGAATAATGAGAGGCTGTCATACTATGCAGGAAAGCCAATTACTGTACCACCCTTGGTAGTTTCCTGTCTATTAGTACGGTAAGGTAATTTTCCATGTTAAAGAATGGTAAGCACAAGCAGTGCAAAATCAGACAGGAGCGTAGCAGAAACATGTATCCATATCATCAATGAAAATGTCTAGTTTCGGTGTCACCATCGATACGAAGGCAGATAAGGTGGAGGGGTTACAGCTGCTCCTGCAGGTTGGGTCAAGAATGCAGGCGAGGGAGGAGGGGGATAGGCAGGCGGGGGAGGAGTGATAGGCGGTGGTGCTGCTGGGAGAGGAGGCGGAGAAGACCCAGGATAGGGGTATAATGGAGGGGGAGGTCCAGGAGGTAAAGGCGGATAAGAACAGCTGTCAGGCGGCGGAGGGGGAGGGCCAAGAGGAAGAGGCGGAAGAGGAGTATGGTTGGTTGTTCCAAGAGGGTGGATTGAATTTGACGGCGGGAGATAAGGAACATGAGAGGTGACTGCATCGGGCTGGGTAAGCAGGGGGGGCTGAGGAGGATAGGTGACTGACTGACTATGACTGTATGTAAACTGAGGTGGTACTTGTGAATATCCTTGAGTCTGGTTGACACTTGCTGCTGCTCCGGAATAAGCGGTGGTTGGAGTTGGTGCTTCAATAGTAGCTCCTCTTGCTGCTGTCCCTTGACCATAGCCTTGGTACGTGTCCAGCTGCACACCACCGCCACCATCATCGCCACACTCACTCTCAATCCCAGCTGCCCATGACAGCACAGCCGAACTAGCACTAGCACCGACAACCCCCCTTGCGTCTATAACCGCTCCCGCACTCCCTCCCCCCTTTGGAGGGGCAGCCTCAAAAGCAGATAACAAAGCAGAAGGCGGATTGGCAGCAGCACCACACGCACCTCCATATCGATCTGTGACTGAATCGTCATGTCGTCGTGATGATGTGTCGTAGCGGGATTGGTCCAGATAAGCCCCATGGGAGCTGCTGCCCGCATGCCACCTGTCATAATCCAACTGCCACCGGTCAGAATCAGCGTTGCCAGCTCTCCTTCTCTCTCTTCCCTCATAAGCACCCCTGTCATCCTCAACCCTGATTGGGCTCCACTCCTCCCTCCTCGTCTCATCCACACCTCCCTTTCTGTCGTTGCTCCTGTCTCTATTCCTCTCCCTGCTCATGTCTTTGCTCCTATCCTTACTACTCCTGTCCCTGTTTCTGTCCCTGCTCCTGTCTCGTCCTCTCTCCCTGCTTCTGTCTCTGCCCTTCTCGCTACTCCTCTCTCTTCTCCTCTCCCTACTTCTCTCCCTTCCCCTCTCCCTGCTTCTGTCCCTTCCTCTCTCCCTGCTCCTGTCTCTGCCCCTTTCCCTGCTTCTCTCTCTGCCCCTCTCCCTGCTTCTGTCCCTTCCCCTCTCCCTGCTTCTGTCCCTTCCCCTCTCCCTGCTTCTGTCCCTTCCCCTCTCCCTGCTCCTGTCCCTTCTTCTGTCTATATCCACTTCCCTGTCCTTTTCACCCTTTCTATCCCTTCCCGCTCTTCCCTCCCTATCATGCTTACCTCCCTCTCTCTTCTCATCAGCAGAATCATTCCCACCCAACCTCCTCCGCTTCGTCTCCCTCTCATCCTCATCTCCCTTTCCCTCCTTACCCTTCTCCCTCTCCTCCCCCTCTCTCAAAATCCGGCATTCCTCCTCCCACCTCTGCTCCTCATATCTCAACCTCCTCCGCCTCTCACTCTCCTCCCAATCCGCCCGCCACCCCCTCCCTCCCCAAAGGTATTCATCCCCACCCTCAGGAGGAGGAGCATTCAAACCCGGAAACTTGACAGTGGGAACAAGGAAAGGTTCAGGTTCAGGAGTCGTTTCACGCCCCCCCTCTCCATCCCCACCACCATCAGCATCAGGGGAACTTTCCTCGGAAGCATCATCCAGCACAAGAGCAAGGGACTTGAACCCATTCAAATCTTCAGCCGCAGCAGCAGAAGTAGCAGCCTTCTCCTTGACTGGTTTTCCTTCAGTGCTGTTCTCTGCTGGAATTTCTCCTGCCTCACTATCACTGTCCTCTCCCTCCTCCTTTGAAGCCTTCCCTGCTGTTGCTGCTGCTCCCTGACCTTTCACCTTTGCCGTCTCCTCCTCTTCGTCTGCTCATTAATACACACAGAAGGAGACATAGGCAGGAAGCGTGAGGGCGCCGTGTGAATCGATTTCGCAGAGACTGCTGTCAGGCTGATTCGAAACAATGATTGTTGGGGGGGGAGGAGGGGGGGAGGGAAAGAACACAAAGAGCTGGAAACGAACGTAATGATTCGCCCAGCCAAAGGAAAGTGTGCGTTTACAGCCACGATAGCCAATCAGGTGGTCTGGCTCTCAAAGAGGGTTCTAAGGGCGGGGTCAGTGCGTTCGTTTTTCACGATTGTACAGTACATCTGTCGTGGTGCAGAAGCATTCCAACCGGTTTACAGCGGTTCTCTCTATCAACCGTTTTAGACCGTGACAAAACGAGAATAACCGCTCAGGATGAGATGACCTGTACCATTGTGTAAAATGAATGCGCTGGCCCCGCTCTAAATGGACTGTTTTGAGTCAGCTCTTAGGTCAAATCATGTCGGGTCGAAACTTACAGCCAAGATAGCCAGGCGGGTACCCCAGCTCTCGCATTCGCCTGAGCCATGGAGGGGGGTCGCGATCCTGCAAAGGAGAGGGACACAAATCGAAATGACGGAGATGTGAGAAAGGGGTTTTATGGTAAGTAGGGAGAGAGAACGAGGTGTGTGAGGAGGGAGCGGGGAGAAACACACTCCTAGACCCATGGCAGCATGCACCTCTGCACTCAACACACCTGGTAGCAGGCTCTCATACGTCTCCTCCATCCCTCCCTCCTTTAGCCACAACAGTTTCACGGCTACCGCCAGCACACCCCACCCAACCCCCTCCGATCCCTTAGCACACCCAAACCCACTTCAATCGCCTGCCCTATTGCCCTAACTCAAACTCAACCCTATGCCCATGGCTGCATGCAGCTCCGCACTGAGCACACCCGGCACAAGCCCTTCAAATCTCTCCTTCATCGATCCTCCTCCTCAAACCTTCACCAGCAATACACACAAGCTCACCTCAAGGCCTCCAAAGCATTCAGAATCACTCACCCCTATGCCCATGGCAGCACGCAGCTCCGCACTCAGCACACCCGACACGAGCCCTTCAAACCTCTCCCCCATCCCGCCTCCTCGAGCCTCACAGGCCTCAAGTTTACCAGTAGCACCCCAAACCTTAGTTCCCCTAACACACCCAGACTCACCCCTATGCCCATGGCAGCACGCAGCTCCACACTCAGCACACCAGGCACGAGCCCGTCAAACCTCTCTTCCATCGATCCTCCTCCTCTCCCCTTCCCGCCCCCCGCCCCTCCAAACCCGTAATACCTCGACCCTCCCGTAGTAGCATCTTTCCCGCTCTTCCCACCCTGCCCCCCCTGACTCTTCCCCCCTGCATGTTCTGCCCGGGCGGCTGCTACAGCGGCATGGTCCCTTGGGCGTTGGCACTCCCGCAGGGCGTGAGTGTAGGAGCCGCAGTTGAAGCAGCGGGCGGCAGAGGAGAGAAGGAAGTCGGAGTGAAGGAAGAGAGGCGTGAGGCTGGAAAGGTCCCCTCCTGCTGCTGCTCCTGCTGCCACCCCTCCTCCTGCTGCTGCTGTTGCTGATTCTGGTGCTGTGCCAGAGGGAGTGTTAGAGTCCTTTCCTGGCTGGGACCCATCGCCTGTGGGTGTCCCGTTAGCGCCTGCACCTACATCTGTGCTCCTGCTGCTGTGAACGCCCAAAACGAGGCCCGATTCTGACCTATCATAGAGAGGCACGTCGTTGGCTGTGCTGTAGTGCTTATTGAACGTGACGCCACTGCGAACCCCTGCCAGACTCACACCACCACTGCTGAGCCTTGCCTTTCCTGCGTCACTGGCAGCAACTGCGCCAGCAGCGGCAGCAGCAGAGCCTGCGACAGCAGCACTTGCAGCAGCAACAGTCACAGCAGAACCATTCGAAGCAGCATCAGCAGTGGAATTTGCGGCAGCAGTGGCGGAAACACCGGCTTGGCCATCATCATTCCGAGATGTAACAACACCTGCAGCATCGGTATCAGCATCAGCACCAGCATTAACATCCCCAGCAGCACCGGCAGCACCAGCAGCACCAAGAGAGCTAGTAGAAGGCTCAGCAGCAGCAGCAGATGGCGGTTGTGACTGCTTCGGAGGAAGTGAGGAGGGGAGCAATGGCTTGGGAGGGGGTAGAGAAGCCCATACACGCTGCGTGGGAGAGAGAGGAGGAAGAAAAGAGGAAAATGGGAGACAATGTAGGGAAGAAAACCAGAAAACCGACTATGCACAAGAAGGCATGCACATCGACCCAGAGCTCTCACCAACACGAAACAGATAGGACCATTGTACAGTGATAACAATGTATGTAGTGTAGTCTCTATCTCAGGAGAAGCCGTATTACTTGAACTGTATGGGCGTGAACCAACTCAACCAGGATCCTGCTCGTCCTTGCCAAAGAAAACACGAGGCCAGCCAGCCAGTGCCTTTCAGACCACCAAACAGGTAGGCGAGACCCATCATCGGTGCTATAAGGAGCGCGAATCCAATCCAGCAACCAAAAAAGGAAGAAAACCCACCAACAAAAGAAAGAAACCCACCAGTGGTGCTACGGATGCCTGCCCTGTAGCCCCAGGAGAGCGAAACGAACCCAAAGGACCAAGGCGAGATAGCACAGAGGGGACTGCTGCAGAGGCGGGCCCAGAGGAAGGGAAGTAGACGTCGGTTCCACTCAGCGTTGTGCTCTGTTGCTCCTGACCCTCGCGTTCCTGTACATGCCATCCATGCAAGGATGATAAGAGCGGAGGAGAGGAGAGGAGAGGAAAAGAGAGACGAGGAGAGAAGTAATTACGAGAAGAGTGAAGAGAAGAGATGTGGAGAGAAGACGAGAGAAGATGCGCAAGGGGGAACCCTCAAGGTGCAAAGGAAGCAGTGGTACATGGCAACATGATAGCTCGTGAAATAACAAGATGTTATGTTTGCCACAAGTGTAAGCCTTTGAGCACTGTACAGTCTGTACTGTACAAACAGTGTATGGGATTGGTGCTCACAGAGGTTGGAGTTTGGGTGGATTCCCATGAGGACCACGAGGACAGGAGGTTCTGAAGATGATCCAAGCTGGCTCTGCCATCATATCATCAATTATCGGATCCATGTTCCATGCATGGAAGAAGTGTGATTACAAGAATTGACACATTGCCGTGTCGAAACATGAGCATAATACGGATAGAAGATCCGACAAGTTGATTTTGGAAAGAAATCAAGCTGAATTGACATTCATCTGAACTGAAAACATTGTCATCTGGTTGTCAGATTAGTCTCGCATCAGACAACATGGTCAGAAAAATCTCACGTGTTGGTCAGTCAGACCATTGTCACAAAATGTCCGACAAATGTTAAGGTCTGAGAATTCCACACAACTGTCATACAGACCACAGTGCTTACTTTGAAAGGTTCTCGTAATGCACACGCACGTATGGTCCTTTCTCCCACCCGCGCCGTCGCTTGCGATGGTGGTGATGTAAATGGGGTGCTTGCGATGCATCCTCCATATTAGCCACACTTAACTCGGTTTAGTCACCGCCGAGTAGCTGATGGTAAATCGAGGGAGAAATCAAGTCACAATTTCCGTTAATCTCGTAAATGATAATCAGATAAGGGTAGATTACTCCTGGCTGCTTAAGCATTCAACAGATACAAAACAATCCGGCAAAAACAAATAATAGCGAAACTGGCTCGGGTAGCGAGAAGAGAAAAATAAAACTAGAGACGAGTACAAAAGCAACGCGAGGACAAAGACGGGGTGAGAGGAGTAGAGGCATTAGATTCATTGGAAAAGGAATCGTAAAATGGGAAAACGAAGCGCGATGAAGGAAAAGATGGTACGAAACAAGCATGGAGTGATGAACTGACATTGATAGCTCGAAGATCGTCACGAGTGTGGAGTACGCGGAGAAACACCAGGAAAGAAGTAAAGGAGCAAGGGGACGCATGAGAAGCTAAAAATCGACAAAAGTAAAGAGGGACACGCAGCTCCTTGACTAATCGACGGAGTTTGAAGTCCAGCCTAGAACGATCCGTGCCGAGCTCCTTGTGAGTTCACGTGCGGCTCAAGGAAAAACAAAAGCGGAAGACACGCCATGGAAATGGAAGACTGAACAACCTATCTAGAGAATCTTGGGATGATGTAGAGTTCAGGCTTGATCACCTTCGAAACTGTTTTGGGGTTGGAGGCGTTCAGTCAGGTTTGAATTGACATAGCGTGAATGTAGTGCGGCGACGAGTCGACCTTCTACCACCTCAAGATTACTCCCCGCGTGTCGCAGTCAGGTCGCTTTCTCGGCCAGTGCGGTTCAAAGAGTTTATTTCGGTTTCATGATGGTCCATAAAGGGTTCTGAAACGGTTCAGTAAAGTTGCGTAAGCGGGAAAACTGATTCGTCGATCTGGTCTGGGGGGGTTCTGACAGAATCGAGGTGGTTTTTCCAAAGGTACGTACTCGAATTGATACACTTAGAAGCCTAAAGAAAAAACCTAGTAGCTAACTACATTATATTTTGTAGCCAAAAAAGAAATCCTAAAAATGATCGCATTCACACAAACATGACATATTCTCGACTGCTTATCCACATCTGCTAGTGATCATTTGCTTGGTGGCATCACAACTGCTGTTGCTGCTGCATAAGTCGCCTTGCTTCCGAGCTCTTCCTCAATCCGTAAAAGCTGCAACAACACAGAAGGCACTCATTGTGGCAAGGAGGGAACCATCACACAACATGTGGGCACCAGGATGCACGAGGATTACAACCAGGCCAATCAGAAAATGAAATGCTGCGCATTTCCTGAAAACCACCTTTCCACAGCATCAGGCATACCTGGTTATACTTGGCGCATCGCTCGCCCCGGCACACGCCCCCTGCTTTGATTCGCTGGGCTCCCATGCCCACTGCCACGTCAGCAAGCATGCAGTCCTCTGTGTCCCCCTGCCGCCCCACCCCACCTGCCACCACCACTGTCCACCCCGCTGCTCTCGCTGCCTTGGCCACCTCTAGGGCCTCTGAGAGAGTGCCGATAAGGGGAAGCTGGCGGAGAAAACCGGGGGGAGAAAAGAGAAGATACGTTAGAACGTTGGCTTTACCTGACCTTGCTGTCTGAGTGGAGGAGAAGACAGAGAGGAAATATTGGCTTCTGCTGCAGTCGCTGCCTTGGCCATCTCTAAGGCCTCTGACACTGGCGATCAGGGGAAGTTGGGGGTGCAATGGGTTACCTTGTCAGGACATGGCAATGCTACTGCATGTGGTGTGGTGGGGTGATAAGCGATCTCCCACCTATGCAGTGTGATAGGCGATATCCCACCTTGATGACAAATCCATTGCATATGATGCGGTGCAATGGGGATCTCTGAACTTGATGGCAACGCCACTGCATACAATGCAGAGCGGTGCAATGCGTTCCCACTCATCTTGATAGTGACCCACTGCACATGACGGAGTGCGGTGCAATGTGGTACAGCACCTACCTTAACTGCAATGCCACTGCACGTGCGTCTCTCAATGGCTTGAGCCAGTCGCTTGGCATTGGAGACCAGCAGGTCGTTGCCCACCACCTGCTTGCCATGCGGTGTGATGCGGTTCAATGCCGAGGGAGGAGGTGACAGGTGGTGCCATGCGGTGGGATGCAGAGGAATGGGTGGGGAAGAGGAAGAAATACGAGATGAAGGAAAACAAGGCATGCAAGAGGATGAAAGGAAGCACATTGTTTCAGTCCAAGGCACGCGTGAAGTTGTGATCATGAGTGAGAGGGCATGTGTGAGAGGGGATGAGTGAGAGGGCATGAGTGAGAGGGCATGAGTAGAGGGACATGCCTGCGTGAAGCCTGCCTCTGAAAGAGCTTGAGTGGCGTCAAAGTCTTCCTGGTCAAAGGGGTCCTCTATGCTCACAATGGGGAACTCTGTAACGAGGATGGGAAAACGGGCAGAAAGGAACAGGAGCGAGGTGACGTGATGCCCGGGAGAAGTGGAGAATTGAACTGCAGGGTCACTGGAGTAGAAGTAAGAAAAGGGACTGCACTGAATCGTTCTGGTAAAAGCAGACGCATATGTAAACACATGAGCTGGGAGAAGTGGGCATGTCAGCATGAAAACAGGGGCCATGCTTGATGCTTGCTCTTGATTTGACTAAATATGTATGACCTCTCAGTCGACACATTAGTCCGCATGAACATATGGGCCCTGTTTGATGCTGGCATGCAATAAGAAACACTTTTGAGGCTCCTCAAAAGTATGTATGACCTCTCAGTCGACTCGAGAGTCTGCATGAACATATGGCCACGTGATAAAAGAGTTGTTTTGAGACGTCTCAAAACAACTCGAGAGTCTGCTGCATGAACATATGGGCCCTGTTTGATGCTGGCATGCAATAAGCAACACCTTCAGTACATGATTCACCTGAGTGCACCTGAGGACACCTGAGCACACCTGAAAACGTCTGAACACACCTGGACACACCTGAAGACACCTGAGCACAGCTGCAAACTCACCTGAGCACAGCTGCAAACTCACCTGAGCACAGCTGGAATTTCACCTGAGCACAGCTGGAAATTCACCTGAGCACAGCTGCTGGTACACGTCTATGAGCTGCTGAACTGTCACTTGCTCCAAACTGCTGCTGTTGGCTGATGTCATGCTGATGTCAGCGCTGCCATCCAGCTGAAGCTGCTCCTGCTGCATGCCCAGGTCATAGTGACCTTCGTCTGTGTGTGTGGTGGCATGGGGAGGATATAATACATATATTTTAATTTATGCACACGCTGAGGCCGATTTGATTGGTTGGGATGATGCAAGGAGAATAGACTACCCCATAATAATCACCTGTAACCTTTTACATGGTCCCCCCATTACAATCACCTCTCCCCTGCATTACACCAACTAACCTGTCACGCGCCCTCCCAAAGCTGCATGAACACTGATCTTCACTTTCTCTGTGTGTAAAACTCCCATCCCCCCCTCTACAATCACACCTGTCTGGCCATTCGCTCCCCCATTACAGTCACCTGTCATGCGCCCTCCCAACGCTGCATGTACGCTGATCCTCACTGTCTCACCATGTGCATCTCTCCCCCTGAACAATCACTCATCCACCCCCTCAGTACAGTCACCTGTCACACGGCCTCCCAACGCAGCATGCACGCCGATCTTCACTTTCTCAGTGTGATCAACTCCCATCCCCACCCCCCTCTACAATCACATCTGTGTGGTCACCTGTCACGCGCCCACCCAGCGCTGCATGAACACTGATCTTCACTTTCTCTGTGTGCCCTGCTTTCGCCACTGCTGACGTCAGCAGCTGCAAACCGTCCCGTATGCTGGAGGGGTGGGGAGGGGGAGGAAAGAGAGAGGGGGGGGGGCGGGAGGAGAAGTGAGTTTGGATGGGGTGAAGGTAACGTGAGAGTCAGAGTGGAGAAAAGTGGGACTGTATTGACTGGGAAACGTCAGCAGCTGTTCACTGTCCCCCGTAGAACGGTGGTGAGGAGGAGGAGCGATGGGGGTTCGGGGGGAGGCTGGTGGAAGGGTGGGGGAAGGCGGGAAGGGGGTGAATGTTAGATTGGCCATAACTGACCGCACACCTCTTGCTCCACTCAAGAGCCTGCCATACCTTTGAATGCGCATTGTTATCATGTCAGACGGACCTGCCTTGCGACGTCAGAGGGACCTGCCTTGCGACGTCAGAGGGACCTGCCTTGCGACGTCAGAGGGACCTGCCTTGCGACGTCAGAGGGACCTGCCTTGCGACGTCAGAGGGACCTGCCTTGCGACGTCAGAGGGACCTGCCTTGCGACGTCAGAGGGACCTGCCTTGCGACGTCAGAGGGACCTGCCTTGCGACGTCAGAGGGACCTGCCTTGCAACGTGCACCCCAAGCTGCCATCGCCAGTCACCAGCGCTGCTGCTGGCTGCTGCTGGCTGCCAGATTGCCAGCAGCAGCAGAGAGCGTCATCAAACCCTGTTCAAACATAGAACATCACACGTCAGATGTGGAAAGACACCATTCAGTCAACCGCACCTTCCAAGGGGCAGCCCCAAGCTGCCATCGCCAGTCACCAGCGCTGCTGCTGCTGCCAGGTGTGTCAACCCACACACACACACAGCATAGGCCCTCGTTCTGGCAATATTGTCATTAAGTCAACCGCACCTTCCAAGGGGCAGCCCCAAGCTGCCATCGCCAGTCACCAGCGCTGCTGCTGCCGACCCAAACCGCTCCGCTGCAAGCGCCTGGTGGGGAATGCGATTGAATGCGGTGGAACAGGGTAGAAAGGGGTGAAATGGGATGGAATGGATGGGGCGATGCACGAAGGGATGTGATATGTCGCGATGTGATGGGATTTGATGCGATTCATGAGATTCTATATGACCTTCACATGGTTGTATGTGTTGTGAGTTCATGTATGTAAACACCCTTCTGCATGCCTCTGACCCACTTCCCCTCTCAACGGCTCACTCCCCAACCCATCCCTCATCCACTCTCCTTCCCCAAACCCCCACCCATCCTCCCCCCACCCCTCTCTCCCCTCACACCTGAAGGCAGTGCTGCACCTCTGCCCCAATCCGCACTGCCTCTGAAAACGTGGATGCACCAAGAGGCAGGATAGAGAGGGACTGGGGAAGGGAAGGGGATGGGGAATGGGGAGAAGAGAGATAGGAATGAGGACAGGGGAGAACGGCAGAGTTGCACCTCTGCTCCGATCCGCACTGCCTCTGCAAATGTTGACGCGCTCAGAGGAAGGATGGAGAGCGACTGGGGGGAGGGATGGAGATGGGGATGAGGGGGCAGAATAGGGAATCGGCACTAATTATCTCAGGCACGGGTGAAGGAATCAGGTTACTCCACTCTACTTTTGAGACGTGTCAAAACTGGCAACTCAACTCAACTCAACTCTCGACTCACGTGGAAGGGCGGGGAGGCAGCAGAGGAGGGCGTGAGGGCGCCTGAGATGAGTGCGAACTCACAAGGCTTACGGGCCTTGATTTGACATCTTTCTACTACGACTCACTCACCCACTCGCTGGCACCGTTGCTGCTCTCACCCACCACTCACGTGGAAGGGGGGTGAGGCTGCAGAGGAGGGCGTGAGGGCGCCTGACAGGAGGGCGAACTCAGGCACTGGGAGGGAGGGGTGGGGGAGCGCTGCGAGAGAGGCGATGTACTCGTGTAGTGGGATCTGCTTATGACGTGGGGGGCAAGAGAGGGGGCAGGAGACAGCGGCGGTGACAGCAAGTGAGTGCGAGGAGAGGAGGGCGCCTGAGAGGAGGGCGCCTGAGAGGAGGGCGCCTGAGAGGAGGGCGCCTGAGAGGAGGGCGCCTGAGAGGAGGGGAGAGAGGGGTGGGGGACCGCTGCGAGTGATGCGATGTAGTCGTGCAATGGGATCTGTGATCGTGATGAGAGACACCGGGAGGGGGCAGAGAGGGGGCAGGAGACATGGTCACATGGGGAATGGCAGCACGGGATGGGGAGGAGAGGAGGGCGAACTCGGGCACGGGAAGAGAGGAGGGGTGGGGGATGGCAGCAAGCGAGGCAATATACTCGTGCAGTGGCAGCTGTGAGATGAACAGGGGAGGTGGGATGGGATGTAGAAGAGGGAAGGAGGAAGAGGGATGAAATAGAGGAGGGCGTGCATGAGAGGTCAAACTCTTGCCCACGAGGCGGTGTACTGTCCTCGTGCATTGGGAAGACATGATGTGCATTAGGAGCACAGTACACGATCATGTGCAGTGCAGGGGGGGTAAGTGAGCAGAGGTCAGATACTTACTTTTACACAGAGAAGGTTTTACCGCTGTTGTTCTTTTGCTTAAGCCTAGACTACACAACTGCTGCTCTCTGAGAATTGCAGCTGAACATCACGGAGGTGAGAGGTAACAGAGAAGCAGGAGAGGCGGGAAAGGTGGGTGGGGAATGGCAGCACGTGACGGAGAGGAAATGTGGGCGAACTTGGGCATGGGGAGAGAGGGGTGAGAGACTGCTGCGAGTGATGCGTTGTACTCAATGAGGTGACTTTTGAGTCGACTCAGAAGTCACTCAACTCTCTGTCTGCTGTCTCTGCAACACCAGCCCACCCACACTCACCTGTCTCCCTGCTGCGTGAGGTTGTGTGCCCAGGCACACTGTCAATGATTCATCCTTTGTCTTCCAGACACTTCAACTTTCAGAAAAAAACCCTTTCAACCCACTCACACCCGCTCACACACACGCACCTCTCTCTCTGCTGCGCCTGCCCGGCAAACTGCCAGTGACACGGCGAGAATGGCATTGGCTCCCAACTCGCCCTGAGAAAAGGGAGTGAGAGGGTATGGGGGAAGGAGGAAAGCGGGATATGGAGGGAGGGAGATAAAGGGGGTTCAAAAGGAGCAGGTGAGTGAAGGACACACGGCGACAATGGCATCGGCTCGCATCGCAACTCGCCCTGACGAAGGCAGAGAGGAGGTGTGTATGGGGTGGAAGAGAAGAGTTGGGAGAAAAGAGGATAGGGGGAAGCAAGGTTGCAGGTTGGTGGGGGATGAGGCACAGGCAGAATAGCATTGGCTCCCAGCTTTAAGTGGAATGAGGATGGCTTTTGAGTCGACTCGAATGACAAAGTTGGGATGGGCAAGAGAGGAGGGGACAGGACGGAGGAGAACAGAGTGGGTGGGGGTTGTGTTAAATCGGATGCACGAGGGGGTGTGTGGTGGGTGAATGAGGGTGGAAAAGAAGGTGGGAAGCTCAATTTTTGAGTCAAGTCAGAAGCCAACTCATCCGCACACGAGAGAGGGAAATAGACGTGGAGCTCAGAAGTTGGTGTCGCGTCGCAGAACGCAGCTCAGGGTTTGGTCGGTATGACGTTTGTCGGAAGTTGGGGTGAGTGTTGCTCAGAGTCTCTGCCCTACTGTTCCCTACAATCCCACCAACCTTGTTATCAGTCTGATCCAGATCAGCCACCATCAGCCTGTCAATCTCGCCTTCCTCGTGAGGGTCCCTTCCTTCCTCTTCCCCCTGTTTCCCCCCCATTTTTCCCCTTGTTGCCTTAATTCGCATTCGCACCCACCTTGTTGTCTGTCTGATCCAATTCAGCCGCCATAAGGCGATCGATCTCGCCCTGCTCGCGAGGGTCCCTCCCCACCACCGCTGCTGCTATCGCGTCACTCACATTCCCCACCGCCCTTTGCACGCCCCTCCCCAAAAAAAGCCCCTCGTCTCCATCCCGCACCTCCACTGCTTCATAGCTGCAAGCAACAGCAGGGGCAGTGGCAGCAGGGAATAAACGCACCACGGCTTCGGTCACATCAGTTCGGGTCGAGTAGGGCCGGGCTGGGTCAGATCGGGTCGAGTCGGGTCAAGTCCGGTTGGGTGCGGTCGGGTCGAATTGGGATGGGTCAGTTCGGGTCCGGTGGTGGGGTCAAGTCGGGTCGGGTCGCTTCAGGTAGGGTGGGGTCAGGTGGGGTCGGATCTGATCGGTTCGGATCGGGCCAGGTCGGGTCGGGTCGGGTCTAGTTGGTTCGAGCCGGGTCGGTTCGGGTCGGGTCGGGATCGGGTTGAGATTGGGTCAAGTCGGGTCGGGTCGGGTCGGGTCGGGTCGGGTCGGGTCGGGTCGGGTCGGGTCGGGTCGGGTCGGGTCGGGTCGGGTCGGGTCGGGTCGGGTCGGGTCGGGTCGGGTCGGGTTAGGTCAGCAGCACGTAACTTGTCTAAAGTCAGCTTAATAAAAGAAGGCAAGTGAGTGCGATCCATCCATACAAAACCAGATTAGTTGGTTCTTGAGATGATCTCAATCAAAGACGCCACTTGTAACGCTCACATGCCAGATGTAACACCCGTGGGCGCGGAACTTGCCCCTGTGAGAGCCCACCTCCGCCTCCACCGTGGGCTACTTTTGAACCCTAAACATGCCACATGTTTCACATGTATACTCAAGTCAAGTGCCACATGCAATCCTCACATGCCAGAAGTGACGCCAGTGGGAACAGAGGCGCGGAACTTGCCCCTGTGCGAGCCCACCTCCGCCTCCACCGTGGGCTCCCCCCGTGCGTCCAGCACCATGCGGCCCTTCACACTCAGGATCACTGACGGGGCTGCTCGCTGCAAGTGCTGCGCCTGGGAAGGGATGGGAAGAGGGGTCAGTATGCCAAGTGATTCGTCAGTCGCCCACCTCCGCCTCCACCGTGGGCTCCCCCCGTGCGTCCAGCACCATGCGGCCCTTCACGCTCAGAATGACTGACGGGGCTGCACGTTGCAAGTGCCGCGCCTGGGAAAGGTGTTGGGTTGGAGCAGGAAAGGAAAGAGGAGTGTGATTCCTCAGTCACCTCCGCCTCCACTGTGAGCTCCCCCCGTGCGTCCAGCACCATGCGGCCCTTCACGCTCAGAATGACTGACGGGGCTGCACGCTCCAGGTGGCGTGCCTGGAAGATATGGGGCAGCGCAGTGAACGTGAAGGAAAGGAGGGAATACCATCGGATTCTTAAGCTGCCACCCTCCGCCTCCACCATGGGCTCCCCCCACGCATCCAGCACCATGCACCCCCTCACGCTCAGGATCACAGACGGGGCTGCACGCTGTAAATGCTGTGCCTACGATGGGATTAGGGAACAGAAATGAAGGAAAAGTGGGATGTATGGTTCCTGAGCCGCCTGCCTCCGCCTCCACCGTTGGCTCCTTTCGTGCGTCCCCCTCACGATCAGGATGACTGACAGGGCTGCGTGCTATAAAGGCGCGCCTACGCGGTGTTGGGAGGGGGCACAGTGCAATGGTACAAGCAAATCTCTATCCGTAACCACTCTGGAATCCTCTTCACCACTGCGCGCTGAGCACTACGACGGGGTAAGTGTGGGAGAGGCGTCGAAGAATGGGGATCAGTTTTTAACGAAGCGGACACTGACGCGTCAGGTTGAGACGATTGGTAACAGGTTGAGCTCACTATGATGCGATTGGTTCACCCACATTCGCCCGCACGGCTGCATTACCCGCCTGCTCTATCCGCAGCGACAGTTCTGTAACCACGAACAGTAACGAGGCAGCTTATAACGAAGACTACCTTACAATGAATGCGATTGGCTCGTCGGATTTCGCCCGCACTGTTGCATTGACCGCCTCCTCTATCCGCAGCGACAGCTTGTGAGCATTAACGAGTCACTTTATAATGAAGACCACCTGGTACACTTACAATGAATGCGATTGGCTCGTCGGATTTCGCCCGCACGGCCGCATTGACCGCCTCCTCTATGCGCAGCGACAGCTTGTGGCGATCGAGATACTCCTGTACCGTCATCGACATGTTGCCTGCACTCTCACTCTCTCCCACTCACTCTCTCACTCACCCAAGTCGCTCGCTGACACACTCACTCTCTCTCACTCACTCACTCGCTCACACTCACTCGTTTCCTCACCTCATTATCACAAACACTCAGTTACATTCACCGCACTCTCGCGCTCTCACGCACACTCTTCTGCTCCTTGCGCTACCTCCTACCAATCGCTCTCGCCAACTACACACTGCCGACTTCTAAACCGTAGTCGCTTTGATGCTAACAACAGTCTCGGTCCTCCGTATCTAACACAGACTATATTTTGAGGCGCCTCAAAACTGATGATACAGCAGCAGCCTCGGATTTTAGAATGATGCCTGGACCTTATGATGAGCCAACGCTCCTGCTTCAATTGCTGTGAACGCGTTCCCGTTGAATGCAAGATGCCCCAGGCCGAGACAGGCCGAATCTGAACGCATCCGCGTTTCAGTCTGTTGTACTTTACGGTACAAGCGTCTAGCAGAGTATTCCAGTAAAGGATCTATGTTGACTTTTTTTTTGGCAACAGATTTGAAGCCGTTCAATTCCCGAAGGGTCAGTCGAACTCGACGGACGAAATCAGCTTGTCCTCGCATACGAAATGGCCGACAGTTTCGTTACAAGCCTGATTAGATGGGGCATGTCACCGACCACCAAACTGGTCAGAGAAAATTAACCGTATTCAAACGCTCCAAAACGTAAATAAACGCGCTGAGCCGAATTCAGCTTCCTTTTGGCCCATGGCTACTTACAGGGACCGGACCATAGCACTTGCCGAGCCGCACGTAATCCACGCGCGCAGTTTCACTCAGACCCATGCAAGACGCCACAGGCTAAGATAGTTTTGAAGCATCCAAGCCGTCCCACGGGAAATGATCACTTAACTGTCGGCATTTAGCGGTCGCGTTTGAAGCTGATCGAAAGTGTGTGCGGAGAAAGTGGGATGGCGGCGGAAGCTGGTGCGGGGGGTAGTGAGATTAATATCGGGGATGAAGGAAAGGAGCCGAATGACGCACACGAAGCTGAAGCGTTTAAGGACGAAAGCGACTTATCGGAGATTAAGATCGTCGACGAGAAGCGGAAGGCGGAGGGGGTGAAGAAGCGGAAGAAGAAGCGCCTGGCGGGGCGGAAATGGGCGGTGTTGCTTGTCGGGACGCGGGGGGAGGCGGAGCTGCTACAGTGCACGAAGCAGGCGATCATGCGCCGCGTGTCGGTCCCCGCGCGCGATCTGCGCTTGAACGGCCCGTTGCTGTCTTCCGCCGCCGCGATTCTTGGTGAGTTGCTATTGAACCTGACTCTCGTACCTATATACGTACGTACGTACGTACATACGTCGCTTGTCGCTCCCCGCGCGCGAACTGCGCTTGGGCCGCCCGCTGCCACTCCTATCACCGCCATTCTCGGTGACTTCCGCGTCACAGGCGGAATGGGCGCCGCGTGTCGGTCAACGCGCGTGATCTGCGCTTTATCTGTGCGCGACATGCCTTAGAACGGTCCATTGCGATCCTTAGCCGCGAACGTTCTCCCTTCCCCACTCTCGTTCCCCTCTCGCCCCGTCTGGTTACCCGGTTACAGGCAGGGAGGGGTGCATGATGGTGAACCTGGAGCATGTGAAGGCCATCGTGTCAGCCCAACAGGTGCTGCTTTTCAACCCCTCCTCGCTTAGCTGTTTTACACTGTTGGTCTTGTTGCTTTTGCTTTAGCGTCATATTCCTGCTGCTCTAGTGTCATATCCCTGTTGCTTTAGCGTCATATCCCTGTTGCTCTAGTGTCATTTTCACGTTGTTCAAGCGCCATTCTCACACACTGCTGCCCTTTTATGGCTGCTGCCAACAGGTGCTGCTTTTCAACCCCTCTCGCTTAGCTGTTTTACACTGTTGATCCTGTTGCTGTTGCTTTAGCGTCATATTCCTGTTGCTCTAGTGTCATTTTCACGTTGTTCAAGCGCCATTCTCACACATTGCTGTCTGTCTATGGCTGCTGCCAACAGGTGCTGCTTTTCAACCCCTCCTCGCCGCCCGTTGCTGCTTTTGCTGCCCACCTGGAAAGAGTGCTCGCCATGGGACCTGAACTGGCACAGACACAGACACAGGCGCAGACAAAGACACAGGCGCAGGAGCAGAAACAGGAGCAGGCGCCAGTACTGACTCTCAGTCCGGGGAGAAAAAACGCAGAGGCAACGACGCAGGGCGATGCACAGGTACAAGCACAACAAGCAGGTGCAGATGATCATGCGGGGACACAAAGGCAGGGTGAAATACAAGAGGAAGGAGTGGGAGATGGAGAGGGAGAAGCGGAGGCAGAAGGAGGAAGGCAGGGGAAAGGAGGGGCTGGAAAAGTAAGAGGAGCGGACGTTGCCAGGCAGGGAGCGAAGGAGGAGAGTGAGAGGGGGAAAGAGAGTGAGAAAGAGAGCGACAAAGAGATCGGGAGCGAGAGCGAGAAAGGGAGCGAGAAAGAGGAGGAGAAGGAAGCAAAGGCAGCCGAGGAGGGCAGGGAGGAGGAGGAAGACGAGGAGCCTTTACCGTTCGAGTTCCGGGTGTTGGAGCTGATACTGGAGGAGGTGGTGAGCAGGAGGCTGGAGGGGGAGTGCCGCGAGCTGGAGAGAGACGCGTATGCGGCGCTGAATGCCCTTGCAAGAGCTGTCAGCACGGCTGGTCTGGAGGCGGTCAGAGGCGTGAAGAATAGGTTGACCGTGTTGACTTCCCGCGTGCAGAAGGTGAGTGAGAGGAGGCAGGCAGAAAGGTGAGGCAGGAGGGTAGGTGAGATAGGCAGTGCCAGTGTGGGTAATCGATAAGGAAGAAGCTGACGATTCTAGAGGAGGTGGTGAGCAGGAGGCTGGAGGGGGAGTGCCGCGAGCTGGAGAGGGACGCGTATGTGGCGCTGAACGCACTCGCCCGGGCCGTCAGCACGGCGGGATTGGAGGCTGTTAGAGGGGTGAAGAACCGGCTCACTGTGCTGGCCTCCCGCGTGCAGAAGGTGAGATGATTGAGGTATTGCCACTGAAGTAATGCGCTCGCCCGGGCTGTAGCACGGCTAGCCAGGAGGCTGTGAGAGGCGTGAAGAATCGTTTGACCGTGTTGACTTCGCACATGCAGAAGGTGAGATGAGGGAGCAGGAGCACTGCCACTGTAGAAAGCAGCAAAAACCGTGCAATGCCCCACTGGCGAACATGGGAGCTGTGAGTGAGTGGTGAGGAAGCAGGCGGATGACTTTTGAGTCGACTCAAAAGTCACCTCGAACATGGGAGCTGTGAGTGGCAGACCTCTATCTCACACACCACCTGCCGCCTCCCTTACCTTGCTCTCCTTCCTGCCCTTTCCGTTGCTCCCATTGCCCCCAATCCTGCAGGTGCGGGATGAATTGGAACATCTACTGGACGACGACAGGGACATGGCAGGCCTCTACCTCACCTCACACGCTAACTGCCGCCCTTCCTTTGTCTCCCTTCTCTGCTCTTGCCTCTGTATGCAGGTGCGGGATGAGCTAGAACATTTGTTGGACGACGACAGGGACATGGCAGACCTCTACCTCACGCGCCAGCTGCAATGGCTCACACTTCCTGCCTCTCCCTCACACTCTCCCTCACACTCTCCCTCACACTCTCCCTCACACTCCCCCTCACACTCCCCCTCGCACTCCCCCTCACACTCCCCCTCGCACTCTCCCTCACACGCTCACGCACACTCCCCCTCACACTCCCCCTCGCACTCTCCCTCACACGCTCACGCACACTCTCCCGCTCACTCTCCCTCGCACTCTCCTCCACACTCTCACCCACGCTCTCTATCACACTCCCCCGTACACTCTTCCGCACACTCTCCCACACCCTCCCCCCCACTCTTACGCTCTCCCTCACATTCCCCTCCGCTTTCCTCTTCTCCTCATATCCCTCCTGTCCCTTCTCCTGGTTCCCCTCCTGCTGCTGCTGCTGCTGCTGCTGCTGCTGCTGCTGCTGCTGCTGCTGCTGCTGCTGCTGCTGCTGCTGCTCCTTCTTCTCCTCCCTTCTCTCCCGCTGCCGCTGTTGCTGCTGCTGAGCCTGCCTTTCCCCCTGCGTTCCCTCCTGCTTCCGTCTCTAGTCACAGGGGCTCCCTCACACATTCCCCCACTCACTCCCTCACTCACTCCCTCACCCACTCGCTCCCCCAGTCCCTCACTCACTCGCTCTCCTTCCTCCCTGTCACTGGCCGAAGCTTCCGCAGCTCTGGCAGAGGAGGCGCGTGGGGGGGAATGGGGGGAACGCCAAGGGGAGCAATGAGGCGAATGGGGGGGATGGGGGGGATGGGGGAGGGGACGGAGAGCAGTGTGAGTTCGAGTGTGAGCGTGGGAGGAGGGGAGGACGTGGAGGAATTGGAGATGCTTTTGGAGGCTTATTTCACGCAAGTGGACCGACTGCTCAACGACCTCACAGCGGTGAGTGAACAACTATCCGTGCTCTACGTTTTTTCGAGTCTCCCTGCATCTGCACTGCAGAGAGGTGGGCAGGAGATGCTGCTTAAGGTGTATTTCATGCAAGTGGACGGATGATTGAATGCTCTCACTGCGGTGAGTGATTTGCGGATGTGTGCTTTGTGCATCCATGAGGTGGAAATCATTCTCTATGCCATGCCCTCAAGTTAAGTGGCACGGGAAACGCAGAGAGCTGCAAATGCTGCGTGTCACTCATATGAGGCGTATTTCACGCAGGTGGACTGGCTGTTGAACGACCTGTTGAACGACCTGTGACAGGGACCATGTGACTGACACGCAGGAGCATGAGAGCATTCATGACATGGGCGTGCATGTGCGTTCCTCTTACACCTCTCCTCTTGTCTGCTTCCTCCTCCCCTCCCCATCTGCAGCTTTATGAGTACGTGGATGATACAGAGGACTATGTGAACACGCAGCAGCAAGAGAGCACCATCTACATGCCCTTCCCTCATACTTCGTACGTCTCATTATCTCTCCTCTCCCCACACCCCAGCTCCATGAGTATGTGGATGACACAGAGGACTATGTGAACACACAGCTGGACTACCGCAGGAAGAGAGCACCAATGCATACCCCTCCCTTCTATCTTCTTGTTGTCAACTCTACCTGCACCCTCCCCCCATTCCCACCTTATCTCCCGCTCCCTGTCCCCCCACCACACCCCTCATCTTTCCCCCAGCTCCATGAGTATGCGGACGACACAGAGGATTATGTGAACACCCAGCTGGACTACCGCAGGAAGAGAGCACCAATGTATATCCTTCCGTTCCATCAACTCTACCCCCACCTCCTTTCCCCCACCTCTTTGCAGCTCCATGAGTACGTGGACGACACAGAGGACTATGTCAACACCCAGCTGGACTACCGCAGGAACCAGCTGCAGGGGACGCAGGTGCGTGGTGCTGATGACGTGGCAGGAGTGATGACGTGGCAGCTCATGCTGGAGTTGGGGTGGGGGGAACGGGGAGGGGGGAGGGGTATAAGGGAGATGGTTGCAGGGGGGGTTGAGGGAAGGGGGAACTAGAGCATGTGCCATGTGACTCTGATTTCTAGTCATTTCTCATCATTATCATTCTTGCCGCCTTTTCATTGAACCTACCAAAACCTACTGCAATCGACCCTCCCACTCCCTTGTTTATTCGCCCTTCCACTCCCTTATTATACCTCCTTCCCCCTTCAGGTGCCGATAACAGCAACGGGCACGGTGCTATCGATGCTCAACCCCAAACCATTGTTAGCACCTACTACACCTTCCACTCCCCTTTACACCTTCCCATGGCCCTCCCATCCTCTCAGGTGCTGATAACAGCAACAGGCACGGTGCTATCGATGCTCATTGTCATCATAGCAGCCTTCTCAATGAACCTCCCCAACATCCTCTTTGACTCAGATGGCCAGTTCTCCACCGTGCTCCTGCCGCTGCTTGCTGTCCCCCTCCTCCTCCCCCCCATCCCCTCATACCAGGTGCTGATAACAGCAACAGGCACGGTGCTATCGATGCTCATTGTCATCATAGCAGCCCCTCCCCAACTTCCTCTTTGAGACAGACGGCCAGTTCCTCCCCGTGCTGCTGCCTCTGCTGTTGCTCCTGCCCCTCCATGCCCACGAATCCTGTTCTTCTGGATGGTTTTCTTCCCTTGTCCTTCAAACCCCTCCCCACACCTGTCCCTCCCCTCCGTCCTCCCAACCCGCAGGTGCTGATAACAGCAACGGGCACTGTGCTTTCAATGCTCATTGTGATCATAGCAGCCTTCTCAATGAACCTCCCCAACTTCCTCTTTGATTCTGATGGCCACTTCGCCACCGTGCTGCTGCCTTTGCTTGGCTCTGGTGCCGCCCTTCTGGGTGGTTTCGTATACTACACCTGGTATTTCCAAATAATTACGTGAATAAATTTCCTGTAAAAACAGGACTTGAACGCTTGGTACTACTTGCTGAGTTGTACCCAGGGAACGGAAGATTGTTAGTTATGCGTGTGAAGTCTCACTTTAGGGCTGGCAATTATGATAGCTTTTAAGACTTACTGTAATGCTCTCTACATGCCACCACCAGGCCCTGTTGTGATGATTTACCATACGGTAATGTCAGTGATGTTGGGTTCATGTCAGTGATGTTGGGTTCTAGATTGGAATTGGAATTCAGCATCATGGGACTGCAATTTCAATTACCGCACACCAAGAATTCAACATACGGTACTTGTCATGAGTTGTGAAACGGAACAGTGCGCGGAATGCAATATCGCGAAAGTGACCCTGAAAATAAAAGCCCCAAACCAAAGTCCTCCTCACGCGTCACCCGCGCAGGTGATTTTTTTCTTCCCCTCCCCCCTCTTGGTTTGCCTTGCCTTTCCCGTCGGTAGAGAGGCTCTACCCTCATCCCATCCCATCCCATCCGCATCCCAACCCTCCCATCCCATCTTTCCCTTCCCACTCCGTCACTACCAGTATCACACGCAAGCAGAGCCAACCTTCTATCTGAAGGTAGCTTACCTGGTCGGTGTCCTCTGCCCAAACGTCGTGACGAGCAACGTCTTCGGGATTCTGCCAGCAAGCAGCATGGTCGGCAGATGGGATGGGCGAGCGGATCATGCGTCATCAGGGGCTCGGGGGGCCCAACCCAACCAAACCCCTACGGAGCGCAGGTTCCGGTTCCTGATTGAACGCAGATTCGTGGAGCGGCATCACGACGAGACGACACTGGGCGCGGGTGATTACCGCTGCACCGCGCGTCTCACAGGGAAAAGCTCCGCCAATTGTATCAATGGGGAAAGGGAACTTCCCTTGATAGGTGAATCGAAATGCGATAGGTGAATGCAATGCGGACTCCGCGGAGGAAAGGCGGGGACTGAGTAGTGAATCGCTCACAAATCGGCGCACATGATTCACGACGAGTCTTCTCCCCCGGCCCAGGCGGGGCCCCTCAGAACGGCGGACGCTGATTCACGTACACGTACTCAGAAGGCGCGATCTTCCCAGGGCGTTCCAGCCCCTCTCCCTTGTCGCCGCCGCGAGCAGCAGCAGCAAATGCGGAGAGGGGCGCATGCCGTGTCATGAGCCCCGAGGAATCCCCAGTCGATTCAAACACACACGGGAGTAAGAATTGCGCTTGGTTTATGAAACCACTTCCTTAGGCCTTGCTCGTTCCGCAGTTAAACATCGACAGTGTTCCCCGCATCCGCAGAGTATCCGCACTGTTTCTTCGGATATTGCTGGTTCTGAGAGGCTCTACTAAGGATGGCGGAGCGCAGTTTATCGACTACTAGTAGCTCTAGGTTATGGCGGTGCGGGTGGCGCTCGCTGGTTCTAATGCTCTTCCTCGTCACGGTCCCAAGCCGTTACGGTGACAGCGGCACGGTTGGGGTGCGCGCGAGCAGTGTGGGAGTCGAGCGACGGATGCAGGCAGATCGGCTGCTGCAGGCTCAAGTGAGAGCCTTCATGCATGGGATCACTTCAGACTAGAGTCGACTTACATGAGATGAAGGTCGAATGGGATCGGATCGGATCCGGTCTGGAAATTCTGTTACTGTGAATTTAACGTTCTATGATCGGTCATAACATGTGCCTCTCTGTTGCATGTCCGTTGGACATGCTAGGCCGTGCGCTATCTCTCCATTGCATCCGTTTTTCAAGAGCTACCTTGCTTCATGTTCTTCTGGACCTGGGCTGGGCTGCTTGCATTTCGCCTTGCTTCATTGTTTCCTTGATTTCCTTTCATTTGCGTCTTGGCGCCATCGTTGCCCTGTTATTGTTTCCTCGGCACCTCACTGTAGCCCTTCAGCCATGAGTCATTACGCTGCATGCCTGCCTCCTTTGCATGCCTCCTTGCATGCCGCGTTTCATGATGTCTCCTCTGTGCTTTCAATTATCAGCTGTTTCTCCCGCTCTTTGCCTCCTTTCTTGTTCCACGTCATCACCACCACCCAACCAGGTGAACAGTATGCTCGCGTCACTCGAAAGGAATGCTGACGTGGCGTCGCTGACTCAGCAGCAGACAACATGCTCGTGCTACCGCGTCCGCAATGATTACTGCTGCTACCAGTACATCTGCAAGTGCTCGCCCATGTGCTGGAACGGATACGAGGTAAGCGAGGCTTGAATGGTAGAGGCAGACAGTTTATAAGGCGGTTCATGCTACTCCCTACCAGCACAGTGGATAGTTATCACTCCCCAGCAAGGTGACTTTTGAGTCGACTCAAAAGTCACCTCAGTGGATAGTTATCACTGCCCAGCAAGTAGGTAAGTGCTCGCAAGTGCTCGCCCATGTGCTGGAACGGCTACCAGGTAAACGAGGCTTGTAGGGCCGTCAGGCAGGCTGTATGGCTGAGATGAGTCTGTTTTTGAGTCGGCTCAGGAACCCGCGTGTGATACCAGCATTTCATAGTAACCATTTCATAGTGGTTACCAGCATTTCATAGTAACCATTTCATAGTGGTTACCAGCATAGTGGTTACCACTGCTGCTGCTACCAGTACATCTGCAAGTGCTCGCCCATGTGCTGGAACGGCTACCAGGTAAACGAGGCTTGTAGGGCCGTCAGGCAGGCTGTATGGCTTCACTTCGCATGGCTTTGCATGGGTTTCAGGTAGATGAGGCTTAAGTCTGTAAGGTTGTGTGGTTGTCGGGTAAATGAAGCCATACCGCCAATCAGCACAGCGGTTACCACTATTGCTGCCACTTCTCCATGTGCAAATGCTCGCCAATATGATGGAACTGCTATGAGGTAAATAAGGCTTCTACAGACTATCTGGCTGTGCGGTTATCCGGTCCGGCTGTAAGGCTATGAGGTAAATGCGGCTCATATTACTGCCACGTTGCCAACCAGCACAGGGGTTCCCTTCCCACTATTGCTGCCACCACTCCATGTGCATTCGCTCGCACAGGTACTGGAATGGCCATGAGGTAAATGAGGCTTGTGAGGCCATGAGGTGAATGCGGCTTGTAAGGCCATGAGGTGAATGCGGCTTGTAAGGCCATGAGGTGAATGCGGCTTGTAAGGCCATGAGGTGAATGCGGCTTGTGAGGCCATGAGGTGAATGCGGCTTGTGAGGCCATGAGGTGAGGCACGCACCTCCCCAACCCAGCCGTCTGACTGATTATTCCCACATGTCCCTCTTCACTCCTTCTAACCCCATCCCACCAGCCGATCTCTCTGGGTGAGCCCAAGTGCATGCCAGCAACAGAGCACGCACCTCCCCAACCCAGCCGTTTGACTGATTATTCCCACACATCCCTCTCCACTCCTTCTAACCCCATCCCACCAGCCGATTTCTCTGGGTGAGCCCAAGTGCGCACCAGCAACAGAGCACGCACGTCCCCAACCCGGCCAGCCACCCGTGCTCACGCCTGTGGACTGCTCAGAGCAACAGACCTTCCGCAGCGCTCTCTACAGCGTCTTTCCAGAGACTTCCGGAGGGGGCCTGGGTGTGCGGAGTGCCGGGGGAGGCGGAGGTGGAGAAGGGTGGTTGGGGAGTCGCAGTGGGGTGGACTGGCGGTTTGGGCAGACGATGCTGCAGATGTATAGCCAAAGCGAGGGCAACATTGCTCACTTCTCTGGTGGGTGGGGTGCGGTGGGGTGGGGTGGGGTGGGGTGGGGTGGGGCAGGGAACAAAAATACGGTCGAATTTTTGAAATCTGACCGTAAAATACGATCGTAAAATACGGACCGTATTTTACAGAAACTGTATTTTTCATCCTTGGGTGGGGGTACCATTGGTGGTGGGGACAGGACATGGCATGTCGCTGATAAGCCTCCCCGCTTTGGACTGACGATGTTCAACAAGGGCGAGACCAACATAACATAGCACGCTTCTCTGGTGGGTGGGTGGCATCATCGTCTCTTCTTAGTCATGTCACTCTGGGTCGGCCTCACCCTGCTGCTGACGATCAGCAACGGCGAGACCAACATAGCACGCTACTCTGGTGGGTGGGGTGCGGGTTTAGTGGTGGTAACAGCATCACGGCACCCGCTGCTCTGCTCTGCTCTGCTCGTCAACCTCCCCTATCCCCCCCTCCTTCCTGCCTGCCACCCATCCTCCCAACCTCGTTCACTGCAGAGAAAGTCCTTTCCCTCTCTGCAGCGCCGTGAAGTTGTTGGCCAAGAGATTTGCGTCGTGTGCGTGAGGACCTTCTGAGATTCGCAGCGACTGCGTGAGGACCTTCTGCAGAGAACCTGCCCCACGCTGCTCCTGGTCAGCAACTTTTGAGACGTCTCAAAAGCCCTCCCTCTCGCTGCTTCTGGCCAGCAACTTTTGAGACGTCTCAAAAACCCTCCCCCTCGCTGCTCCTGGCCAGCAACTTCACAACGCCCGCTGCACTGCACTCCTCCGTGACTCACTCTGGCAATAGTCATGCTACCTACCCCAACCTCCCTCTCTCCTTCGCACCCCTTGCTTACTCCCAACCTCCCTTCCTCCGAACCAACCTTCCTTTGCAGAGAAGGCCCTCACGCTCCTCCTGGCAAACAACTTCACGGCGCCAGCTGCACTGCACTCCGCCGTCACTCACTTTGACATTGATCGCGCTACCCCCAACCTCCCTCTCTCCTCCCTCCTCCCCCCTCCCCTTTCCTCCCAAGTGCAGAGAAGGTCTTCACGCTCCTCCTGGCCAACAAATTCACGGCGCCAGCTGCACTGCAGTCCACCTTGACTCGCTTCATGCTCTGAAGGATGCTTGCCCCCCTCACTCTGTCTCTCTGTGTTCCCTGTCCTGTCCCTCCGCTCTCCCCTCCTCACAGAGAAGGCCCTCACGCTTCTCCTGGCCAACAACTTCACGGCGCCAGCAGCGCTGCAATCCACCGTGAATCGCCTCATGCTGCCACGCTCTCGAGAGTTCGTTGAACGGTGAGCAGCGCGGGAATTGTGACCTTTAAGGCGCCGCAAAACTCGTTTCATGCTGCCTTGTAAAGGGATGTTCATCGAGCGGTGAGCAGCGCGGGGAGTGTGGCGAGGTGAGCAATGTGGGGTAGCTGCAAGATGAGAAGCTGTGGCTGGATCAAAAGACAACGGAAAGTGAACAACTGAGGGGCGCAGCTGCACTAATGTGAACAACCATCCTTGCATTCACCCAATGCGCAGAATGCGAACGTTGGGTGCAGATTTCATGTTCACTCAGCTTCTGAGTCAACTTAAACGTCATAAACATCTGTGGGCCTTCCATGATCCGTCCATCCTTCCTCATTCATCCGATGCAGATTTCCAATGGTGGGTGCAGACTCGATGTTCCTGTTGAGTCGGCTCAAAAGCCATGAACCGTTTTTGGACCTCCCACGATCCATCCTTCCATCCATTCGATGTGCAGGATTCGAACGATGGGTGCAGACTCCATGTTTGCTCGGGTGATGCAAGCGATGATCGAATTCGCCGTCACGCCGCTGCTCCCCTCTCGCATGCATAACTCACTGGAACTGTACGTTACCCTGCTGATAGCAAAGCAAGCACACAAGGGAATCACACTCAACTAGATCATCTCCAACTCTCTCACACTCAACTAGATCATCGCACAACTCTCTCACAATCAGCTAGATCATCGCACAACTCTCTCACAATCAGCTAGATCATCGCACCCGCCTGTTCTTTTTACTTAAGTTTCCCGTCACGCCGCGTCTCTTCCAGTTACGCCCACGACTCTCCACAACTGTACGGTGTTGACTCAAAAGCAAGGCAAGCACACAAGGGAAGACTACACTCAACTAGGTCATTGCATGATTGCACTCGCATGACTTTTCGCCCCCGTGGAATTCGGGCACAAGGGTGGCTTTAACAGATCCTCATTGACAGACGCTCCTTCCTCCTCTTTTCCCCCCCCTCCACACCATCCTCGATCACAGGACTCACGGAGACGCCCTTATGGCGTTCGAGTCGGTTGGTTTACTGCATTTAGTAGACGCTCTTCTGTGCTCCCCTCTCCTCCTCACTCCCCAAGGAAGCACTCTTCCCACCTCCACCACCGCCAGCCTCGCTCACTAGTTTTGAGACGCCTCAAAGCCTCGCTCACAGGACAGGACTTCTCTAAGAGACGCCCCATGGCATGTTATAGCGCTCATACACTCACAGACACTCACAGACACTCACAGACACTCACAGACACTCACAGACACTCACAGACACTCACAGACACTCACAGACACTCACAGACACTCACAGACACTCACAGACACTCACAGACACTCACAGACACTCACAGACACTCACAGACACTCACAGACACTCACAGACACTCACAGACACTCACAGACACTCACAGACACTCACAGACACTCACAGACACTCACAGACACTCACAGACACTCACAGACACTCACAGACACTCACAGACACTCACAGACACTCACAGACACTCACAGACACTCACAGACACTCACAGACACTCACAGACACTCACAGACACTCACAGACACTCACAGACACTCACAGACACTCACAGACACTCACAGACACTCACAGACACTCACAGACACTCACAGACACTCACAGACACTCACAGACACTCACAGACACTCACAGACACTCACAGACACTCACAGACACTCACAGACACTCACAGACACTCACAGACACTCACAGACACTCACAGACACTCACAGACACTCACAGACACTCACAGACACTCACAGACACTCACAGACACTCACAGACACTCACAGACACTCACAGACACTCACAGACACTCACAGACACTCACAGACACTCACAGACACTCACAGACACTCACAGACACTCACAGACACTCACAGACACTCACAGACACTCACAGACACTCACAGACACTCACAGACACTCACAGACACTCACAGACACTCACAGACACTCACAGACACTCACAGACACTCACAGACACTCACAGACACTCACAGACACTCACAGACACTCACAGACACTCACAGACACTCACAGACACTCACAGACACTCACAGACACTCACAGACACTCACAGACACTCACAGACACTCACAGACACTCACAGACACTCACAGACACTCACAGACACTCACAGACACTCACAGACACTCACAGACACTCACAGACACTCACAGACACTCACAGACACTCACAGACACTCACAGACACTCACAGACACTCACAGACACTCACAGACACTCACAGACACTCACAGACACTCACAGACACTCACAGACACTCACAGACACTCACAGACACTCACAGACACTCACAGACACTCACAGACACTCACAGACACTCACAGACACTCACAGACACTCTCTTATTTTCTCCCCCCTCCTTCTCACTCTTGCGACCACCACACACCACCACACACCACCACCAGCAGTCTCGCTCACAAGACACTGGCGAACGCCGCATGGCCTTCGGTTCAGACTAGTTGAGTCTGAATGAGCGCATCTGATGAAGTCTCTCTCTTCCTTTCTTCGTCCCGTGCTCTCACGCCCTCTCGCTCTCACGCCCTCCCGCCCGCCCCCTGCCTCCAGCCTCGCTCACAAGACCCTGGGGGACCTGCCAATGGCGTTCGGGCTGGTAGAATTCGAGTCCGCATGGAACGCCGCCACTGAAGACCGCCCCCTCTGCTTCGAAAACCTCCTCCTGCCGGGCATCCTCAAGGGAATGGCGTTTCCGTCCCACCCATCCCAAGCCACCTACCTGGACCGGCACCTGAGGAACAAGCTGGGTTTGAAGCCTCCGGAGAAAATAGTGTGGGGTGCGGATGGGGTGAAGGGGTGGCGGCCGCGGGTGCTGTATATCACGCGGCTGGGGGCGGAGTTGAAGGGGCGACGGTGCTTTGTGCCTGAGAGCCATGAGGCACTGCTGAAGCTCATGGAGAGTTTGGATTTTCAGGTGGGTTTCAGGTTGGTTTCAAGTGGGTCTCAGGAGGGCTTCAGGTGGGCTTCAGGTGGGCATCAGGTGGGCCCTAGTAACACCTGCAGTTACATGTCCTCCTCATTATGTCTTTTTCTTGCATTCTCATAATCATCGTCTTGTTTCAGTCTTCCCATCATCCATCCGCACACGCCCCATCATGGTCAACATGGGCCACCTCACATTCCTCTTTCAACGTCGTCCTCTTCTGCTCTTCCGGTCTTCCTCTGCTGCTTTTCTGGTCTTCCCCCCTCATCCATCCATCCATCCATGCCTCTTCTCCAGGTGACCATGGTTGAGATGGGGCACCTAACATTCTGGCAGCAGTTCGAAGCCATTCAATCCGCAGACATCATCATCATCTCACTCCACAGCGCGTCCCTCATGAACGCCCCTCTGTTCGCATGCCTTTCCTCTGACCATCCATACCCACCAGGTGACCATGGTTGAGATGGGGCGCCTAACATTCCGGCAGCAGTTCGAAGCCATTCAATCCGCCGACATCATCATCTCACTCCACAGCGCGTCCCTCATGAACGTGCCTCTCTTCGCCCGACGCAACGCCGCCGTGATTGAAATCATGCCCTACAAGGTGGTTCACGAGTTGTACTACTCGCTAATGCTCAACTCCGGCATCCCGTATTTCCTCAAGATGTGCCGCAAAGGGGACGAGCAGGAGGGCGACGCAGAGTTCAAAGATCTAAACCATTTCGATTGCATGCACAAACACGCAGCGTGCAAGGAGCAACATGTTCACCACAGGCGCGTGGAACTCACGGACCGGGATCTGCATGATTTGAAAACGATGCTGATGGTGGCAAAGGGTGTGACTGGCGCGAGCTTGGGGGCGTTTGGGAGGGAGATTCAGCCTAAGGAGCTGCCAAGGTGGGCAGAAGAAAAGTTCAAGGATGTGTGTGTTGCCCGAGATGTGGACTGGTCTGGACCGCGGAACGATTTTTTACGGGTGCCCAAGCCAGGTAAGGCGGACGAGGATTTTATATGTGTGCTTTCGAGGGATGATCGTGATGATGCATGGCATTGGCTAGAACCGTTAGCGCCAGGATAATAGATCTATATATCTGTAAGAAAACAACTTTCCCTATTTCGTGTCCCGTGGTACCGCGTATCTGGCCCTCAGATATCATGTCAGGCCTTTAACGCAGCTTCGACTGATTTTCAGCCTTTTTTTGTACCAAGGCCGAACTCCTGGTGTGTCCACGTGATTAAAGTTTTAGTAAAAGGATTTGAACGCTTGGTATTTGCTGAGTTGTACCCATGGAATGAAACATTTTTGTGCATGTAAAGTCTCAGCATAGGGCCGACAATCACAAATAAGTATAGGACTGAGATTTCATACTAGCTGTGTAGCCTCAACATTGTTGAAATCACACTGAAACTGCCAAACGAAGAAGCTTGTTGGGAGCACACCCCCACCACCCTCGTATGTTTTCGCACATTCACACCTCCACGGGCTCCTCGGCGATCAAACACGCCCTGGGTGCAACTTCCTCGCTCGTTTGTACGAAACTCCGTTACCCTTCGCAAAACCATTGGCACAATACACAACTCGTCGCTGAAGCTCGTTTGGGCAGGATGGCGTGTCCTCAGAACAGTCCGAAGAATTCCGATCCCACACCCGATGTGTGATTCGAAGCGAAAAGAGACCCGCCATCACGGTGGTTGGGACAAGTGCAGGTTTGACATTCAGCAAGCACATTCACCAGCTTTCCCATATCCCACACCGCCATGGCTCTTCCTCCATTTCATGCATAGTTGGCTGGGGGTCCCATCCAACCAAGATCTCGCCATCGTTACCACTCATCTCGCGTTTTTCGGTTTTGAGTTCTGGAGGTCGACATTTCTCCTCTCGCTCGCTCTTCAGCTTCCTCCATACCTCCGGCTGTGTTCTGCAGGCATCTCCCTTGGGAGGGAGGTGGGGGGCGGAAGGGAAATGACGACGGTTCAGAGGCAGTTTCCCCTTCGGCCCCCTCCCACCCCCCGCTACAACCGAAAGTTTGAAATTTCGGGTTTAGGGTGCGAAACTGCAGAAGGTAAATGCCGAAGAAACAGCTACAATTTCGATCGCACGTAATTTGGGTAGAGAGAACTGCGAGTCATCAGAAAAAAGAGTTGAAGTTTAGCAAAGGGATACGACGTTGAAAAAAAAGGTTCCCCAAGCACTCCTCCAGCAAAACACAAACCTCGCCAACTCCAACCTGCCAAAGCCAGATTCGACCGTTTAGGTTGGTGGCTTGTGTTTTTTTTTACCGGTTAGGTTGACGCGTTCTGTTTAGGCTACTCAAGGGTGTGGCTGTTAGCTTTCTAGGGTTCAAGTGTGGTGTTCCCTACCCTCGCGCCTCCCTCCCCCCTCCGTCTCACATCTCGGGCAAGAGCAGTTTTCGAAAGGGGGGGAGAAGGGGGCAAAACTTGCCAGAGAAGGAAGCTGGGGTGGGTAAATAGGCAGCTTCCTACGCCCTCATATCCACTAGGGTAAATGGCTGTTCTGTTGCCATTTACCTTCGTTTACGTTCGGAGGGTGAATGGAGGCTCGGCTCCATTTTTTGGGCTGACCGGGCGTTTGATCCAAAAAACGCAGTTGGTTGAAGGTTCCTATTTACCGCCTCCCCCCCCTCTGTCGTGCCTGCAGAACGCAGCCTCCGTGTCATTTCTTCAGACACACGCCAGCCACCCACGCCAAGCCACCTTCCTTTTGACGCCAGCCATATCTTCCGTCCTGCTAATCCACCAGCCACTTCGGTTAGTACTTCTACTTCCTTCCCCTTGACGTTTCGACAGTCAGGACAGATTCGTTCACAGAAAAGCTTTTAGTCCTCGTCGACCTTATTTTCGCTTCACAATAAGCTCGGAGTTTTCACCCGTTGTTCTAGATCGCCCTAGATCCGTCAGAATGTCACAGGAGTCTCCGATCTGACGGCTATCTGATGACTTGCTCGCCAAGATCCTGCACTTAGTTGTTCGACCCAACGAACTGTTACATGCTTTGGTGTGCACGAAATGGCGCAAGGTAGCCTATTGCGTGCAGGACGTAGTTGAAGTATCAGATGATGATCGTTGCATGAATTACCGCAAGTTGCTTGACCAGATCGCGAAGTTTTCTGGTCTGAAGAAACTCGTTCTATCACGCGGGAGTTTATCCTTCGTCCCGGACGCTTTCCTATCCGGACTGGCCGAAACACATCCCGATTTGGTTGAGCTTCGCATCGACACTTTATCTGATCCGTTCGGTCGCGGCGAATCTTTCACTGTGAAAGGTCTTTCGGAAATATTTGAGGTTTGCACCAAACTAGAGAATCTGCACCTCGTTTGTTCGCCGCGCATCCGTACCATTCCACCTTCCATCAGCAAGCAATCCCGACTTAGGAGCCTCTTCCTCAGGAACGATAAGATTCAGCATCTTCCAGACGCTATCACCTCTTTGCAACTTCTTGAAAATTTAGTGCTGCGTGTGCCGAATTTACAAGATTTGCCACAAGATTTTGGCAATCTCGTCTCGCTCAAGACATTTCGGGTGTTTGGTATTCGCGCTCTCCACCCACTCCCGACATCCATGCAGCGGCTTGTCAATCTGCGTTGTCTTTCCATTCGTAATTGCGGTACGCTTCAATTTCCAAGCGGTATTTCCAAGCTTCAACGACTGCAGGTGCTGGAGTTGAGGGATTGTGAAGAGCTCTTGCCGCCGCCTGAGGATTTTGGGAAGATGCCAGCATTGGAATGCCTACTCATCAGGCGTGTGAAGGGGATCACGGAGCTTCCAGAGACTGTTGGAGATTTGTCGCGGCTGCAGCAGCTTACCATTGGCAGCCAAGACAGTTCCTCATGGTTGCCTAGGACCTCGCCGAATGTTTCAACTCTCACGAGTCTTTACTTGTGTGTGCGAAGACTTACAGATCTGCCAGATGGCATTGGTCGACTGTCAAAGAGCTAGGAAGCTTAGGACCCAATTTTCAAAGTCTTCTATCCCTTCCTGAGGACTTTAGCCAGCTGACTGCGAGGTTTTGGAGTTGTCATACCTTGAACGGCTCAGCCACCTGCCGGAATTCCTTGGACATCTGACCAGATTGCGAGTACTGAGTCTTCAGTGTTGTAAGCGACTTCAGCAGCTACCCAACTCCTTTACCCTGCTATCTTCCCTCCAAAAACTGGATGTCCAGTTGTGCTCGGAGCTTACTGTTTTACCAGAGAGCATAGGGGATGGCCTGCATCATCTTCGTGAGCTGTTTTTGCACCACATACCTATCACCTGCCTCCCTGCCTCCTTTTTTCGTCTTTCATCGCTCGAAATAGTAGACTTGAAAGGGCTCGAGTGCTTGAGAGGCTGCCTTCCGGAGGGCTTCAACAGCTTCACACACCTTAGAAATCTCTCTCTAAATTTCATCCCTGGCCTCACTTCCCTCCCAGCCTCCCTCTCGCGATTAGCTCTCACCCTCACCAGCCTGACAATAGGATACTGCAGGGAGCTGGAGGCATTGCCAAGGGAGTTTGGACGGCTGGAAATGCTGGAGGATATCCATCTTTCAGATCTAGACACTTTGGAATCGATTCCTCATTCATTGTTGAAGCTGCCTCGACTGCGGAAGCTGTATGTGTACAGCTGCAAGAACCTGGGCCGGAGGAGCACCATGGATGCCTTGGTTGGGGGGGGGAGCAACTGCAGCAGTGGCAGCAGCAGCAGCAGCAGCAGCAATCTAAAGGGCGTTGAAGAGGAAGTTCTTCCATCGCTACGGAGCCTGACCATTTTGGGTGTTGCTTCTGAAGTTCTTGATCATTCCCTGGTTTCTATCGCTTCATTGGTCAAACTGCACCTGTCGGCCATGCCCACACTACGTGTGCTTCCTGAATCCATCTCTCGGTTGTCAAGCCTGGAAGAATTGAGCATTTCTGGTGCCGGAATCAGTGGGTGGACTTTCCAGGCTTACATCTCTCAGTCTGGACCAACTAAGCAGTTTCCTCCAATTGCCCGAGTCGATTGGGCAGTTGAAGAAGCTGAAGGTCTTGATCATCACAGGCTGCCCAAAGATATCAAAGCTTCCAGAATCCTTCTCGAAACTGCCTAGCCTACAATACCTCAATCTCATCAACTGCCCGAAGCTGTCATCCCTTCCACATGATTTTGGGAACCTTTTTTCACTCCGAAGGCTTTATCTCTTTAAACTGACGAATCTTCGCAGGCTCCCTGGTTCCTTTCGAGACTTGTCTCGGCTGAAGTGGCTGGAAGTGCATGGCTGTAAGCGGCTAGCTCAACTGCCATCCTCCCTTACCGATATGCCGATGCTGCAGCATTGCAAGATCGTCAGGTGTCCCCGGATTTCAAGCCAGAATACTAAGAGAATCTTTGGCAGGGGTTATGGCTCGATAGAACCATGTGAAGCAGAGGGGGTGGATGAGGAGGATGTGGATGAAGAGGATGAGGATGAGGATGGGGATGATGAGGATGAGGAGGATGAGGATGTGGAGGATGAGGATGGGGATGAGGAGAATGATGATGAGGATGTGGAATGAATGGAAATGGAGATGCTACAGGAGCAGATGGATGGGATGATTAGAAGAAACGTTGAAGCCTGAAGTGGAGCAGAGAGGGGGAAATCATCAGGGCTTGGGGGAAAGGTGTAGGAGTGGTAGGATGTGCATAGAGAGTAAGCAGCATTTTTTTTCTTGCAATGTTGAGTTTTTGTGTACATAACCAAAATGGAGATTGCTAAGGAAAGAGTTACGGTAGCTCTTGGAATATGCTGTGTCAAACTATATGTGTTGCATATTGTCTAGGCTGTAGTGGGGTAGCCCATATGGGGTACAACCCAATTAGGGTTTAGTACTTGTACTCCTGCATCCTGCTAGTTCAATCATTCCTGCTGCTAGATTCTGACATGGTTTCAGAGCACTAAGGTCCGTAGGACCATTTTTTTCGGGCCCACCTACCGCTGCGGTTACCACGCTACCCCACGTACCTGCCTGCCTTGCCTTGCCTTGTGACGTGCTGCACTACGTGCGCCGTCCTGCAGCCCTAGTGCTGCCTCCTGCTGCCCTAGGCCAGCGCGCTGCCCCTGCAGGCCCGTAAGGCCCGCGCGCCGCCCCTGCAGGCCCGTCAGGCCCGCGAACAGCCCCTACAGGCCCGTCAGGCCCCCTGCTGCCGCGCGCTGCCGCACCGAGCCGTGTGCAGCCCGCTGCTGCCGCGCGCTGCCCGCACCGAGCCCGTACAGCCCGCACCGAGCCGCGCGCAGCCCGCTGCAGCCGCGCGCAGCCCGCACCGAGCCCACGCAGCCCGCGCCGAGCCGCGCGCAGCCCACTTCTCCAGCAGCTCCATGAGTGGTACGCTCAGTGTAGCAGGTCTACGCGTACAGTTCGCTGCCCGTACGTCATTCGCACAGGTGCTAGGACTGGTCAGCCTTGTGGGACGCTTGGTCACACACAGTCCCGCTGCTTCGCCCGTCTGAGCGACGACTGGCGTACAGTGTTTGGCGACGAGGCTGAGCTCGCTTCCTGGCTGGAGCTGCATGGACAGAGGGTAGATATCTTTGCGCTTGACTATGATGCTATTCTCACTGCCATGTATGCATTGCCTACTAGTGCTGACCGTGCCTGTTACCTGTGCGTACCGCCTGACCCTGGTATAGAGCCTGCTGCTCTCGGTGCTGGTGAGGTTGCTGCTCTAGGTGCTAGTGCGTCTCCTGCTCTAGGTGCTGGTGAGGCTGCTGCTCTCGGTGCTAGTACGTCTCCTGCTCCAGGTGCTGGTGAGTCTGCTCTCTCTGGTACTGCGCCCGCAGCGGTCTCGCACACCTTCACCCTTGACTCAGGAGCTTCCCGCTCCTTCTTTCGCGACTGCACCACACTCACACCGCTTAGTCGGCCAGTTCCAGTCTCCCTGGCGGACCCCTCCGGGGGTCCGGTCCTTGCCCACTACTCCACGGTTCTGCCGTGTCCGGCCGCCCCGTCCGGCTCGCTGTCAGGTCTTTACCTCCCCTCGTTCTCTACGAACTTGGTGAGTGGAGCTGACCTCCAGGATCGGGGGGTTGACCAGTTCACTCCTGCGAGTCAGCGAGTGACTCACTGTACGTGTGCTCGGACGGGCCGGCACTTGGCCACGTTCACCCGTGCACCTGGCTCGAGTCTGTACACACTGACCGCTGAGTCCCCTCAGGTAGCTGCGTCTGCGTCTACGTCTGGTCAGCTGGCGGCCCCCTGCGAGTGTCGCGCTTTGTCGCACGACACTCTCCTGTGGCACCACCGCCTTGGTCACCCCTCCCTGCCTCGCCTTCGTAGCATGCACTCTCGCTCCCTGGTCTCTGGTCTTCCCAGGTCTCTGCCTGCCCTCCCTCCCTCGCCTGCGCCGCCCTGCATTCCCTGTGTCGAGGGGCGGCAGCGCGCCGCTCCTCACTCCTCCTCCTTGTTCCCTCCCACAGAGGCTCCCCTGCAGACTCTCCACCTGGACGTGTGGGGCCCAGCCCGCGTCCGTGGACAGGGCCACGAGCGGTACTTCCTGCTGGTCGTCGACGACTACACGCGCTACACCACGGTCTTCCCCTTGCGCAGCAAGGGGGACGTCCCTGATGTTTTGATCCCCTGGATCCGCGCTGTTCGTCTCCAGCTCCGCGAGCGGTTCCGGCGGGACTTTTCTGTCCTGCGTCTGCACTCTGACAGAGGTGGTGAGTTCACCTCAGACCTCTTGGCAGCCTACTGTGCGGAGCACGGCATCACCCAGTCGTTCACGCTTCCGGCCTCTCCGCAGCAGAATGGGGTTGCTGAGCGCCGCATTGGCTTAGTCATGGAGGTCGCTCGTACCTCCATGATCCATGTGGCTGCCCCCCATTTTCTGTGGCCGTTTGCGGTCCGGTACGCCGCGCATCAGCTCAACCTCTGGCCCCGTGTCTCCTTGCCGGAGACCTCGCCCACACTGCTGTGGACGGGGAAGGTTGGCGATGCGTCGCGTTTCCGGGTCTGGGGTGCTCGTGCCTTTGTCCGCGATACCACCGCGGACAAGCTCTCCGCCCGCGCTGTTCCCTGTGTCTTCCTTGGCTTTGTCCCTGACGCGCCTGGTTGGCAGTTTTACCACCCCACCTCGCGCCGTGTCTTTGCGTCTCAGGACGTCACGTTCGACGAGTCGGTTCCCTTTTACCGTCTCTTCCCCTACCGCACTGCCCCGCTCCCCCCCCCGCCGCTCTTTCTCGCTCCAGGTGCTCCCCAGGTAGACCCCCTCCCCGCTCCAGGTCCTGCTCCTTCAGGTGTTTCTCAGGTAGACCCTCCTCCCTTGACTGCGCCGGTTGAGGTCACTGGTGACTCAGGTCCTACTGAGGGTGGTCCTGCTCGGGGTGCTACTTCTGGGGGTGCTGAGCCTGGGGGTGCGGAGCCTAGGGGTGCTGAGCCTGGGGGTACTGAGCCTGAGGGTGCGGAGCTTGAGGGTGTGGAGCCTGGTGGTGCTGAGCCTGAGTGTGAGGGGTCTGGGGGTGCTGAGCTTGGCGGTACTGACGTGGGAGGTTCTGGAGCTACTGAGGGTGCTGGCGCTGGAGGTTCGGGAGCTGCTGGAGGGCCTGGTACTGGTGGCGCTGGAGCTGGAGGTTCTGGAGCTGCTGAGGGTGCTCGCGCTGGAGGTTCTGGAGCCGCTGGAGGTACTGGTGCTGAGGGTGCTGGCGCAGGAGGTTCTGGAGCAGTTGGGGGTGCGGGCGCTGAGGGTTCTGAGTCTGCTGTTGCGCGGTCTCCTTGGAGTAGCCGCCTTCGTCCACGTGTGCCTCTCACCCCACAGCAGCTGCAGGACTGGTACGGTCGCCGTCAGGGTCGCGCTGCTGGAGCCCGGGGCTCTGCTGCTGGAGGTACTTCTGCTGACGTCCCTGGAGCTAGGAGTGGTGCTGGTCCTTTGTCTACTGGAGGTGCTGGAGTCGCTGGCTCCGAAGGTGCTCGTACTGGAGGTACTGGAGCTGCTGGGGCTGGGGGTGCTGCGTCTGGAGGTGCTGCTGCTGGAGACACTGAGGCTGGAGACCCTCGGACTGGAGGTGCTAGTTCTGGGGGTGCTGCTGCTGGAGACACTGAGGTTGGAGACCCTGGGGCTGGAGGTGCTGGAGCTGCTGGAGGTACTGGAGCTGCTGGAGCTACCGGTACTGGTGCAGCTGCGCCGACACGACTGTTCTTCGCTCCGCCGTCTCCGTCATCTCTGCCGCCGCCTGACTCTGCTCTTCGTCAGGTTGTTACTCTCCCGTCGTCTACTGGTCTTCCGTTACAGCCTGGCTCACCGCTGCCTGCTCCCTCTCCTTACACTGAGCAGACAGGTAGTCTTGCTGAGCGTCGTGAGCCTGCGTCGCGTCCTGTCTCGCCTGTTCGTCCTGGTCGTACTGGTCGTCGTGTTCCTTGTTCGCGTCAGCCGGCTGTCCCCAGCGCACACCTCGTTGTCCGTCGTCCTTCCTCTGCTCCGCAGCCTGTTTCTCTGCCGTCTCCTCCTGCGTCCTCTCTGCCTGCCGTTCCGGACCTTGAGTCTGACCGGTATCGTGCTGAGCACCCTACTGTCACGCGTCTGCTAGCCACTGTTGTCACTGACCCGTCGTTTGAGTCTACTGCTGCGTCTGCTCTGGTCGCTGAGCTTGTTGACTTTGCTGCTGCCTGTCGTCTAGAATTCGCTGCCAGTCTTGTTGCTGAGTCTGAGTCTGTCTGTCCTCCGTCCGTCGGGGGTGAGTGTGCTCTTAGCACGGACGTCCTTGAGGACAGGCACGAGGACCTTGAGTGTCTTGCGGCTGCTGCGCCTCATCTCGTGGCCATGCTGCTTGCCCCTGAGGGAGACCCGGATGCACCAGACATCCCGACCCCGCGCTCTTACGCTGAGGCGATCGCGGGTGAGTACTCCTCTCAGTGGCAGACAGCCATGGACGCAGAGATGGCATCCTGGAAGTCCACAGGCACTTACGTCGATGAGGTTCCCCCTCCTGGGGCGAACATCGTCGATGGCATGTGGATTTTCAGGGTGAAGCGGCCGCCGGGTTCTCCGCCTGTCTTCAAGGCTCGTTACGTTGCTAGAGGCTTCAGTCAGCGAGAGGGAGTTGACTTCTTCCAGACCTTCTCCCCCACCCCGAAGATGACTACTCTTCGGGTGCTGCTGCACGTTGCCGCTCAGCGTGACTACGAGCTTCACTCTCTTGACTTCAGCACAGCTTTCTTACAGGGCAGCCTGCACGAGGAGATCTGGCTGCGCCGCCCACCTGGCTTCACTGGGTCGTTCCCTCCTGGTACCCAGTGGAGCCTCCGGCGGCCAGTCTACGGTCTCCGCCAGGCGCCACGTGAGTGGCACGACACACTGAGGACGACACTGGCGGCTCTTGGGTTCGCTCCTTCGACAGCTGACCCGTCGCTGTTCCTGCGCACCGACACTTCGCTGCCACCGTTCTACATCCTCGTGTACGTCGACGACTTGGTCTTTGCCACTGCTGACACTAAGGCTCTCGCCTTGGTGAAGTCGGAGCTGCAGAAGAGACACACGTGCACAGACCTGAGTGAACTGCGCAGTTACCTTGGCTTGCAGATCACTCGGGACAGAGCACGCCGCACCATCACACTGACTCAGTCACACATGGTGCAGCAGGTCCTTCAGCGCTTCGGCTTCACCTGGTCCTCGCCACAGCACACTCCTCTGGCTACAGGTCACTCGCTCTCAGCTCCACCTTCGGACGAGTCCGTAGAGCCGAGTGGTCCTTACCCAGAGCTAGTGGGCTGCCTCATGTACCTGATGACCTGCACTCGTCCTGACCTTGCATACCCTCTTGGCCTTCTCGCTCGCTACGTGGCTCCTGGTAGGCACCGACCAGAGCACATGGCTGCTGCTAAGAGGGTACTGCGCTACTTGTGCAGTACATCGGGCATGGGGCTCGTGCTTGGAGGACGGAGTGAGGTGGTCCTCACTGGGCACTCAGACGCGTCTTGGGTTGACGACCAGACTACTCAGCGGTCGTCACAGGGTTACACCTTTAGCCTTGGCTCTGGCTCTGTTTCTTGGCGGTCTACTCCCTCATCTTCTGTTCTCAGCTCCAGTTGTGAGGCTGAGATCTACGCCACCGCCATGGCTGCACAGGAGCTACGCTGGCTCACCTACCTACTGACTGACTTGGGTGAGCGGCCTCGTTCTCCTCCAGTGCTGTACGTTGACAACAAGGCGGCCATTGCCTTGTGTGAGGAGCACAGACTGGAGCACAGAACGAAGCACATTGCTCTGCGTTACTTCCTGGCTCGAGAGTTGCAGCAGCGAGGTCAGCTTCGTCTTGCTCACGTGGCCACTCGGGCCAACACTGCTGATATATTCACCAAGGCACTTCCGTCTGGTGATCATCAGCGCTTTTGTACTCTGTTGGGCCTTGTGCCTACGTTTCCACACTTGTTGTAGTCTCTGCTTGTACTGTGATCTATATATACACTTGCATGCTGGCTCTTGCTAGGTAGCCATCACTGTACTGTTATTGCTGCATGTGAACTGGCCTTGTGGCCCTTTGCTTGTGCTCAGAATGTGTGGTGACGTTGTGATCCACCCTGAGCTTGTTTTGTTTCTCTTGACTGGTCGTGTGACCCCTTGTTCTCCCCCACTTTGCCTATGGGGGTGTGTCAAACTATATGCTGCATATTGTCTAGGCTGTAGTGGGGTAGCCCATATGGGGTACAACCCAATTAGGGTTTACTACTTGTACTCCTGCATCCTGCTAGTTCAATCATTCCTGCTGCTAGATTCTGACATATGCTGCTCGCTTAGTGCGAATACTGTGATGGGAGGTGCTGCAACTGTGGCCACCATATAATAAACTTCGTATAACTAGCTAGCATCAGACAGAATGGTAGCCATGTGAACAGGCTAGAAAAATATCGCTGGCCTGGCCAGCACTGGAGTTGACACTTATTTCCTCACCTCATAGTGCCTTTTCCCTGCTCTCCTCCGTTTCCTTGATCCATGTCTGGCTGTTTTGTTCCCCAGAAGTATTTTCATTTTTGCGACCAGCCTGGTGACTATCTTAGGATCTGTTGGAAGGTGAGTCATGTCATTCCCATGCCTCGCACCTGATTTTCGTCATTTGTAAAGACTTCAGTCGTTTGCAGGAGGTGCCCGGCTGTCTGGCAGCCTGCTGTGAGTGAACAGCTAGCTAGCTATTCCGGGCTCTTTGTCGTTGTTTGAAGTGGGTGGGTGGGTGGGTGGGTGGTTTGGCGGGCTGGTGCGCGAGTTAGATATGCTGCTGGAGGGGTATTCCACACAGGTGGGCCAACTGCCTAACAACCTCACCTCGCTGAGTGAGTAACCTGATGTGTTGCGGTCTGCTGTCGTGTGATATGCTTTCCTGTAGTCTGTTGTCCGTGATCTGTTGTCGTGTGATCTGCTGTGAGTGGTCTGCCTGCCCACTTGCCCTGCTGTCATCCCCCACCCTTCTTCCCTCTGAGCTCCTCCCACCTTTTCCCCAGCAAGCCCTATCTCTCCCCCAGCTTCCCCCACCTTTTTCCCCCAACTTCCCCCACCTTTTTCCCCACCTTACCCCACCTTTTTGCCCAGCTCCCCCCACCTTCTTCTCCACATTCCCCCACCTTTTCTCCGCCTTTCTCCACCTTTTTTTCCACCTTCCCCCACCTTTTTCCCCACCTTCCCCCACCCTTTTCCCTACCTTTCCCCCACCTTTTCCCCAACCTTCCCCTACCTTTTTCCCCACCTTCCCCCACCTTTTTCCCCACCTTACCCCACCTTTTTCTCCACCTTTCTCCACCTTTCTCCACCTTTTGCTCCACCTTGCCCCACCTTTACCCCCAGTTTCATATGGAAGACAACTTGAACACACACGTTTGTCGCCTTATCTTCCCTTGCCTCTCGTCTCTCCTTGTATCCTGAACCTCTATCTTTCTCACATAATCTTCCCATATCTTCTCATCTCTCCTTTTCTCTCATCTCTCATCTGCTCCCCTTTCTCCCCCCTGCTCTACAAGTACCGTATGCAGACAACTTGGAGGAATAGTATGAAAAAAACCCAATCGCCCTTCTCTTATCTCATCTGACCTTCGGATATCTCCTTACCTTTCCTTTTCTTATATGGTATATTTCTTCCCCTCTGCTCCCCTTTCTCCCCCCTGCTCTACAAGTGCTATATGTGGCCGACTCGGAGGAATAGTACCGTCATACCCCGGATATAAGCGCCACCCGCGGATAAGCGCCTGGCGCTTTTAATCGGCGCCCGGCGCTTATATCCGGTGCTCGATTATAAGCGCACCCCCCTGAAAAAACTTGTTTTATTATAAGCTCACGTAAACTTTAATTTTTGAATTGTGTTCGAAACACTGTAACGATTCCTACTTTAGCAGGGGAATGTGTTGCAGATTCGCTTCCCTTCACATTCGGACCCTGCACTGGGTGCGGGTCCAGTCAGCAGGAGCAGTCAGGGGCTGTCAGAAGCTGTCAGGAGCTGTCAGAGTGGGTGTATCTCCAGCGCGCGCGAGAAGTTTCACAGAACTTCGACTCGATTGGAAAAGGCAAGCACGAGATCTACAGCTTGGTGTTAAAAAATATATCAATTATAGATGTCGTTTTATAAACGCCGGCGCTTATAAATTTACCCGATTATAAGCCCACCCCCCCTAAAAAAACATGTTTTATTATTGCCCCCCATGGGGGTATATCCGGGGTATGACGGTATGTGAAAGCCCCACATGCCCTTCGCTCACTCCTCTTCTTAGAGTTCACCTGCTGTCTCACTCCCCTGGTTCAACAGGTTGAAAGACATGTAATGTACCATACTTGGTACCGTCATACCCCGGATATAAGCGCCACCCGCGGATAAGCGCCTGGCGCTTTTAATCGGCGCCCGGCGCTTATATCCGGTGCTCGATTATAAGCGCACCCCCCTGAAAAAACTTGTTTTATTATAAGCGCACGTAAACTTTAAATTTTGAATTGTGTTCGAAACACTGTAACGATTTCTACTTCAGCAGGGGGATGTGTTGCAGATTCGCTTCCCTTCACATTCGGACCCTGCACTGGATGCGGGACCAGTCAGCAGGAGCAGTCAGGAGCTGTCAGAAGCTGTCAGAAGCTGTCAGGAGCTGTCAGAGTAGGTGTATCTCCAGCGCGCGCGAGAAATTTCACAGAACTTCGACTCGATTGAAAAAGGCTAGCACGAGATCTACAGCTTGGTGTTAAAACATATATAAAATATATATGTCGTTTTATAAACGCCGGCGCTTATAAATTTACCCGATTATAAGCCCACCCCCCCTAAAAAAACCTGTTTTATTATTGCCCCCCATGGGGGTATATCCGGGGTATGACGGTAACTGCATCTGGTCTGCTATACCATACGACCCATCCATATTACCGTAGGAACGCTGTTGTGAGTTTGGCCTCTACGCGGTTGCAATGTTTGCACAGCAGCGCCAACGACAGCTGAAAACCACTTGTAGCTACCGTAACTGAAACTGCAGATAAGCTGCTTTGGTAAAACATGAGGAAGAGGGTTTGACTAGACTCACCAGTCATTGTCAAAGCAAGCTCCTTTCTATTGGGGGCTGGCTGTTGTGTTGGTTTATTGCAGCAGATGGTTACTTTCGATCCACCTTAGTTACAACAGGTTATATATTTTGCAGAACTGTAATGTACTATAGTACCATCGCATGATTTTTATCTTCTTGATGCTCTATGGCATACCACCGTATCCCATGCTCACATCATGCATCTTCACGAGCATCTCTAGAAAACACACAAATAAAATCCTCGTCCGGCTTGCCACGCTTGGGCACTCGTAGAAAATCACTCCTCGATCCAAACAACTCCACATCTCGGGCAGCACACACATCCTTAAACTTTTCTTCTGCCCACCCGGGCAGCTCGTCTGGCTGCACTTCCTCCCCAAATGCACCCAAACTCGCCCCCGCCAACCCCTTTGCAACCATCAGCATCGTTCTCAAATCCTGCAAATCCTGGCTCGTAAGTTCCACCTTCCGGAAATGCACATGGTGCGCTTTACATGCCGCATCCTTGCGCATGCAATCGAACCGGTTCAAATGCTTGAACTCCGCGTCCCGCTCCTGCTCGTCCCCCTTGCGGCACATTTTGAGGAAATACGGCATACCGGAGTTGAGAGTTAGGGAATAGTAGAGGTCATGCACGACCCTGTAAGGCATGATCTCTATCACGACTGTGGAGCGGCGCGCGAGGAGAGGCACGTTCATGAAGGAAGCGCTGTGGATGGATATGATGATGTCGGCTGATTGAAGCGCTTCGAATTGCTGGCGGAACGTCAGATGCCCCAACTCGGCCATTGTCACCTGGAGAAGAGGCATGTGTGGGTGGATGAGGGGGAATGCCAAAAGAAAAGAAGAGAAGTTGATCGAGGAGGAAACTGAAAGATGAGGAAGATGAACAATTAGAGTCAGATGCAACAACTCGGCTATTGTCACCTGGAGAAGAGGCACGTGTGGATGGACAAGGGGGAAGATGAAGGAAGATGAAAGAGGAGGAGAATGAAAGATGAGGAAGATGAAAGAAGAGGAAGATGAAAGAAGAGGAAGACGAAAGAAGAGGAAGACGAAAGAAGAGGAAGACGAAAGAAGAGGAAGACGAAAGAAAGAAGAGGAAGACGAAAGAAAGAGGAAGACGAAAGAAGAGGAAGACGAAAGAAGAGGAAGATGAAAGAAGAGGAAGATGAAAGAAGATGAAGATGAAAGAAGAAGAAGATGAAAGAAGAGGAAGATAAAAAAATAAAGACAGATGCCCCAACTCTTCCATGGTCACCTGGAGAAGAGGCACGTGTGGATGGAGGTGTAGGGAAAACCAAAGCAAGAAGACGAATGCGAGAATATGAGGAAGCCTAATGAAGAGGAAGACACGCAGCATGGCAGATGTTTCAAGAGCTTTAGCATTGTGTTGTAGCTCTTTGGCCCAAAGGTGTAGTGGCCCTTCAACTCAGCCTTCAACCAAGCAATATACAGCACTGGCGGTGTGACATGCAGCACTCATAAGGGAGCTAGCTACCAGGCAGAATGAACACACCTGCGATACCAGGTGAGACCCGCCCAAACCCCATCAGGAACCCACCTCAAGGTCCAGGTCGCTCATCAGCTTCAGCAGCGCCTCATGACTCTCCGGTACAAAGGTGCGCCGGCCCTTCAACTCCGCCCCCAGCCGCGTGATATACAGCACCCGCGGCCGCCACCCCCGCGCCCCATCCGCCCCCCACACCATCTTCTCTGGAGGCTCCAGCCCCAGCTTGATCCTCAGGTGCCGGTCCAGGTAGGTGCCTTGGTCGGGGTGGGAGGGGAAGGCCACTCCCTTGAAGAAGCCCGGCAGGAGGAGGCTCTCGAAGCACAGCGGGCGGTCTTCAGTCGCGGCGTTCCACGCGGACTCGAATTCCACCAGCCCGAATGCCATGGGGGCGTCTCCTAGGGTTCTGTGCGCGAGGCTGGTGGTGGGGAGAGGAGGAGGGAGAGGGTGGGGGGAAGAGGAGAAAAGGGGCTGTCTGTGAGATGTGTTGCAACCACCCACCCGCGACAACAATCTCAAGTGCAAAAAAGCATGCGAGTGCAACTATCCAATACCTATAAGTGCAAAAAAGCATGAGTGCAACTACCTAATACCTATAGGTGTGAATTCCCCTGTGCGCATGCTTAGCTGCTGGCAACGTACAGGTGTGGAGAGTTGTGGATGCGAGAGGAGAGTATGGGCGTGACGGCGAATTCGATCATTGCCTGCATCAGGAAGGCGAACAGCGAGTCTGCGCCCATCTTTCGGAGTCTGCACATTGGGTGGATGGAAGGATTTGAGGCTATGTTTAAGGTGACCTTTTGAGGTGACCTTTTGAGGTGACCTTATGAGGTGACCTTTTGAGGTGACAATTGAGGCGCCCCGATACCCTGACACTGCTCACCGTTCAACGAACATCTTGTCGCGAGGCAGCATGAAGCGAGTCACTGGGGTTTGCAGAGCAGCTGGCTTTTGAGCCGATTCAAAACACGCCCCCAGAACCCCCACACTGCTCACCGTTCAACAAACATCTCATCGCGAGGCAGCATGAAACGAGTCACTGGAGTTTGCAGCGCAGCGGGTGCCGTGAAGTTGTTGGCAAGGAGGAGCGTGAGGACTTTCTCTGCGTGAGGGGAAAGCACAGGGAGAACAGAGCGACTCAGTGACAGGGTGAGGGGTTAGCTTTGCTCAAGGCATGAAGCGAGTGACTGGGGACTGCAGTGCAGCTGGCGCAGTGAAGTTGTTGGTCAGGAGAAGCGTGAGGACCTTCTTTGCACGGAGGGGAGAGCGGAGGGACAAGACAGGGAGCGCAGAGAGACATTGTGAGGGGGGCAGGCATCCGCGAGTGACTGGCGACTGCAGTGCAGCGGGTGCCGTGAAGCTATTAGCCAGGAAAAGCGTGAGGACCTTCTCTGTGTGAGGCGAAAGCACAGGGAGAACAGAGCGACACAGTGACAGGGTGAGGGGTTAGCATCCCTCAAAGCATGGCATGAAGCGAGTGACTGGGGCCTGCAGTGCAGCGGGAGCCGTGAAGCTATTAGCCAGGAAAAGCGTGAGGACCTTCTCTGCGAGGAGGGGAGGTTGGGAGGAAGGGGTGATGTTGGGGTGGCATTCTTAATGCCGTGAGGTGATTGTTGAATCCACGCCACAACGACGAGCCTACACTTCCAACTCAAGGGTTCAGAAGACACCTCCCCCACTCCACTCCACCAATAATGCCACCCTCTCCCACCCACCCACCCACCCACCCACCCACCCACCCACCCACCCACCCACCCACCCACCCACCCACCCACCAGCAAAGTGACGTGAGCAAACCAAACCAAACCAGAGAGAGGTGAGCAATGAGCGACTCAGAAGCCTGCCCCTCCACCTCCATAGCCCATCCCATCCCACCAATGGTTATACCCACCCACCCACCACCCACCAGCGTAGTGTGCAATGTTAGTCTCCGTCTTGTTAAATGTCTGCAGCATCGTCTGCCCAAACCGCCAGTCCACACCGCTCCGGCTCGCCAACCACCCCTTCCCACCGCTCTGTCCGCCCTCCCCATATTCCCCCTGCACTCCGCACGCCCAGGCTCCCCCCGGAAGTTTCCGTGAAGAAGCTGTAGAGAGCAGTGTTGAACTCCTGCTGCTGCGAGCAGTCCACAGGGGTGAGCACGGGCGGCTGGCCGGGTTGGGGAGGCGTGTGCTCTGTAGCTGGCGTGCACTTGGGTTGACCCAGAGAAATCAGCTGGTGGGGAAAGCAGGGGGGTTGGGGGGGGGAGAGTCTCTGTGAAGAAGCTGTAGAGAGCAGTGGTAACTCCTGCTGCTGCGAGCAGTCCACAGGCGTCAGCATGGGGGGCTGGCCGGGCTGGGGGGGTGCGTGCTCCGTTGCTGGTGCGCATTTAGGTTGTCCCAGGGAAATTAGCTGGTGAGAAATGCAGGGGACATGCAGGGGGGAAGCAGGGAGAAAGCAGGGGGAAGCAGGGGAAATCAGAGGGATTGAGGCGGGGAAGAGGGAGGTTTCCGTGAAGAAGCTGTAGAGAGCGGAGGGGAACTCCTGCTGCTGCGAGCAGTCGACCGGGGTGAGAGTGGGCGGCTGGCCGGGCTGGGGAGGCGCGTGCTCTGTTGCTGGTGCGCACTTGGGCTGGGCTGAGCTAAGGAGACGAGCTGGCGGGAAGGGGAGAAGCAGAGGGGAGAGAGGGCAGTGGGAGTGAGCAGCAGTCCACAGGGGAGGAAGGGGAGAGCACGGGGGGCTGGCTAGGCTGAAGCGGTGCGCGTGCACTGTGGCTGGTGTGCTGCGTGCAAAATCAGTCAGATGATCGGGTTGGGGGGCCGTGTTTGTGTGCTCCGTTGCCAGTGCGCATTTAGGTTGTCCAAGAGAAATTAACTGGTGGGGAAGCATAGGGGACAGCACACGGGCGAGCATGTGCACAGGTACTGGCGGCAGCACTGGTAACCATGATACTAGTGGAGTGGCATGGGCCGCCTTATAAACTGCCTTTGCTATACCATCCTCATCACTCCCATCATACCCTCATTCACCTCCTAGCTGTTCCAGCACATGGGCGGGCAATTGCACATGTACTGGAAACAGCAGCAGTGGTAACCACTATGCTGGTAACCACTACGCAATGGTTACCACACAGCAGTAATTCCCCTCACCTCATAGCCGTTCCAGCACATGGGCGAGCACTTGCAGATGTACTGGAAACAGCAGTAGTGGTAACGACTATGCTGGTAACCACTTTGCAATGGTTACCACACAACCCTCACACCCTCATTTACCTCATAGCCGTTCCAGCACATGGGCGAGCACTTGCAGATGTATTGGAAACAGCAGTAATCATTGCGGACGCGGTAGCACGAGCATGTGGTCTGCTGCTGAGTCAGCGACGCCACGTCAGCGTTCCTTTCGAGCGATGCCAGCATCCTGTTCACCTGGTTGGTGGTGGGGATGTGGAGCACGGAGGCAAAGAGAGGGAAAAACGTTTCAGGGACGCCTCAAAATTAGCATTCCTTTCGAACGAAGCCAGCATCCGATAAACCTGGATGGATGTGGAGCACGGAGGCAAAGAGAGGGAAAAACGGAAAACAGCGGATAAATGCAAGACGCCAGGAAGCATGAAAGGATGCATGCAAGCTCCGTCGTCAGCAATGGCTGGAAGGGAGAGCTACAGCGAAATGCAAAGGCAAGGAAACAAAAGATGCAAATGGAAGGAAGCAAGGAAGCAATGAGGATAGCAAGCTGCCGCGAAGCCCAGAGAGTCAGGAAGCCACGTGTAATGAGGGTATTTTTGAGACGTCTCAAAAATACCCTCATTACACGTGCGATGCCCAGAGAGTCAGGAAGCAGTGAGGAAGCAAGGAAGCTCATGCTGACTTCTGAGTCGACTCAAAAGTCATCAGACTAGAAAGTAATCGGAAGGAAGCAAGGAAGCTCACGAAAAGCAGGTACAACCGAGAGTTAGCAAATCGATTTAACAGACATGCGACGGAGACACACGTGTTATATGCGATCCTTGACGTTAAATTTACGCTAACACAACCAGATTTGATCCGATCCGATCCGATCCGATCCAGTCCGATCCGATCTAGACCCATCCAATCAGATTTGACCATCTTCACAGCCCGAAACCCATCCTGAGATGAGCACGGAACCCGAATGAGTCTGTGCAAACGAACGGGATGAGGCGTTTTCTGTCCAAACCATGCGTCTTCCAAGAATATGCGGCCGATGCGGCTGATATACAATCCAGTTTCCATGCATACGGCATCCCTCTAACGGGTTGGTTTGTTTGTTTGGTGGTATTTGAGACGTCTTAAAGTGACGATAGTTCACATGACATGCCATGCCATGCCATGCCATGCCATTGGCTCAAGTTGTAAACGAAGTACAGGGAGTTTTGAGGTTCACATGACATGGCATGCCATTGGCTCTTGTTGCGAATAAACGGTAACTGGCCCCCATACCGTCCCGATCTCGCCTCCTGAACCAATCATGCAGGATAACTCCCGGAATGGGGCGGAGCGTGCCCTGATTTTCACCTCTGGGAAAATTATTGCACGTATTCCTCGGATATTGCTACTAACGACACCGCTTCCGTGATGCCAGGAGAGGGTTCCGTGATTCCGGACACCACTTCCATCAGAGGGTTCAAAGGCGATTTTTGAGGCGCCTCAAAAATCACTTCCGTGATGCCAGGAGAGGGTTCCGTGATTCCGGACACCACTTCCATCAGAGGGTTCAAAGGCGAGCCCTTCATGGGTCAACAGGATTTGAGGCGCTTCAACGGTGATGCAACTTGAGCCTGCAGCAGATTTTGAGGCGCCCCAAGTATCAACGCGCCTCAATATTCAAGGCGCCTCAATACTCAAGGCGCCTCAATATTCAAGGCGCCTCGAAACTCTATACTGAACCGCCATGAAGGACTCCCACTTCAAGTTGAGCCTGCAGCAGGTATTGAGGCGCTTCAAGTTCTACTAATGCACCTTCGAAACTCTGAAGTGTCTCATCGTATCGTACCATGAAGGGGGCTCTCACTTCAGTGAGACTGCAGCAGTCAATCCGCCCGCTTCCGTTGCTCCACCCACTATTTTCTAGGCGCCTCAGTAATTGACTCCTAGTTGTCGTACCTAGTCGCCTCGGTTCACCCTAAATCAAGGGGCTCTCAATTGCGACTGCAGCGACTTTTGAGGCGCCAGACTCATCGTTTTAAGTCGACTCTGAGTCATAAGGGCCCTCACTTGAGACTGCAGCAGCCGATCCGCCCGCCTCCGTCGCGCCTCTCCCAATCTGGTCGCACGCACCCCGACCGCGCTGCTGTCACCGTAACGGCTTGGGAAAAGGAACAGCACGAGCACCAGCGCGCACCACCCGCACCGCCGCCATGACCTAGTTGAACCAGACGCCAAACCCCGATTTTTCATTCTCGTAGAGGCTTTTAGAATCAGAAGTATTTGAGAAGCAGTACTATGGATAATTGGTACTCTCCGGAACTGCCTTAATTGCGGAACCAGCAAGGTGGTCGTACTACCAGCAGGTGAGAGGTTCCGTGGGAACAACGGTACGTGGGAACAACGGTACGTGGGGGGAACGACGGCGTGTGAAGCCCTAAAAGAAGATTGTTAAAAAACTTTCATAAATCAAGCGCATTTTCTTCCGGTTTGTGATTTGAGTCGACTTTAAATTACTCGCTGGGAGGGGGGAGTGTGCTTCACGACTCATGCGCCTTTCTTGCGCATTTGCTGCTGCCGTTCGAGACGGCTCAAGAAGGGCGAGAAGCTGGGACGCTCTGGGGAGATCGTTAGCCATGGCATGAGTCAACGTCCGCCGCAGGCGATTTGCGGGGCCCCAAACTTGCCTGGGAAGGGCCTGGGGCGATGAATGAATCTTGCGCCGACTTTTGAGCGAGTGTGCTGAAAAGTCAGTGCTCGCCTTTCCTCCGCATTGCATTCACTTATCACCCGTTTGCCGCAACACTGCAAACCGGTAAGGCTTCCCATCCCATCCCCATTGCTACTACTGTACTGGCGGAGCTTTTCTCAGCGTGGCATGCGCGGTGCAGAGGGAGTACCTGCGTCCGATAATCGAGGCGTTCGGACTGAAAACCTGCGCTCCGTTCCCGTTCCGGGGTCCCTCCAAGCCCCCAATGGCGCATGATACGCGCACTCTTGCCAGATGCTGGCCATGCTGGCAGGGTCTCGAAGGCGTGAGCCGCGTCGCGATGTATGGTTTGGAAACGAGGGGACACCGACCGACCAGGGTTACCAAGGAAGAACCTAGCAGCCGACAGAGAGATGGCTCTGCTTGAATGTCATGGGGGGCCAACGGGGCGAGGTGAGGAGGAGAGGGAGGGTGAGGGAAAGAGGGGGGATATTGGTTAGGATGGGTTGGGAAGGGATGAGATGGGATGGAATGGAATGGGATGGGATGGAATGGGATCATCTTTCCGTTGCCTTTGGGTTCGGAAGGGAAGGGATGGGATGGGATGAGAAGGAAAGGGATGGGATGAGAAGGGATGGAAAGGGATGAAATGGGAATGAATTTGATGTGATGAGATGGGTTGAGATGGTATGGATTGGGATGGGATGGGATGGGATGGGATGGGATGGGATACGATGGGATACGGTAGGATGGGATGGGATGGCTTGGGAGTCCCGTTTCGCGAGGAGAAGGAAGCTCAAAAGGGGGAAGGGGAAGCAATTGGTGTTTTCACCTGCGCGGGTGACGCTGTGCGAGGGCGAAAGCGCATACAACTTCGCAAGTGGCGTGACCCGGCTTGTTGTAGGCACGAACGAAGTCGCTGCGAAGGAAATTCCTGTGATAAGCTGGATTGATCGTGGCTCGGTGATAAGCAAGCCATTTCCGAGGCTGCCCGCACAAAAAGTGTTGACTTGCATAAGGGCGTGTCCGAAGTGAAGCGTCGAATGGATGACGCTGGATGTCGGTAAATGTCAACCCTCGGATCAAGAGTTCCAACCGTCAGGATTTGCCGACATCGGATGACGCTGGATGTCGCGTTCACTTCGGACCCGCTCTAATGCGACATTTATGGCCTGGTTCTCGGGACAATTTTGTGCGTCGTGTCTTCTTCGAGGTTGCCCCGCCAGGCGATTGGTCCCAGCCAATTCGTGCCTCTCCAGTCACCGCCCTACACGTGGTTTCCTTTCCTTATGGAATCCACAATGACATCCACACATCCACCACGACCGTGTACCTGCTCCGAAGAACATGGACAGTCACATGCAAAGGCTGAGGTCAGTGTTCCACAACTTTTGCAGTTGGATGGTTCGAGTTTCCACCTCGGAAGCTACAGTATTGTTGGTACTGTACTGCTGTACATTGCTGCACTGGCTGGCACCATACCGTACAATCCACCAGCCCTCCTTATTGGTACTTGTACTGTATGTCGTTTGGTCGGGAACAAGCCACCGACAAAATCAATCTTGTGACTGTAAAGCGGGAACTCAAGTCCCCGCTAAAGCGCGTATACGAAAGCTTCCCTTGTACCTCTTTATTAACATTGTAGTAAATGTACAGTGGGTACGTTTAGCCCAACGTTTATACCATGAGATCATCTGGAGGAATCCAAACAGATCAACAATGAATAGATTTTGTACCTGCAAATGCATTCTCAAATCGTGCTTATTCATCTCACATCACAGCCTGACCTCATCCCAAATATATTCACATCTTCCCGAGACAGTCCTCATGTGCACACAATGTGTATTTTATATTAACGAAATTTATACTGAAAACGTATTGACACAAAAAAACTATTATCTTAAACGTGTATCTTCAAATGAAGCAAAGAAAACTGCAGCCAAACAAACACCAAACCTGTCGCTCCCCCACCAGCTTGAACACCTCCCACCATGCCACTCTGCCTTACCTGACGTCGCCACGTGCTCATCATCCGTAAATTTCTAGGCTTGGCCAGGTTCGGGGAGCCCAATCGCGTGTGCCGAGGTTTACGTCGGCTTACAAACCTGGCCTCTTTCCCGCCTTCCTGATATTGTCGTGCCGCTCGGTACTCCCGATTGCGGCGGACACTCGAGCCATACGCGCTTCCAGACGACACCTCCTTGCTGGCACATAGCACAGGTGTCGCACGGTGAATCGTCGAAAGAACGCTCGCGACGATGTCGTCATGGGCTCGGTTTGTCTCAAGCCCTCGCAAGCC